ATATTCCTCTGCTCACTGACTCTAATTAACACTTCTTCATTTCTCACATAATCGGTCCAACTGATCTTCTCCATCCTTCTCCAACACCACATTTCGAAACTTTCCAGATGTTTCTGATCTACTGCCATAAGTGTCCATGTTTCAGCCCCATACAGAGCTATGTTCCAAATGTAGCATTTCACTAGTTTCTTCCTCAAATTTAAGTCCAATTTGCTGGTACTATATTGAGGATAAAATGTGTGTTTCAATAATACCTACAACTTTTGTTTGAAGCATTATTTATTTCAACAAATATTTAGTGAGTTACACTCAGGATGTATACAGAAATGCGGTAGACCTTCGTATAAAATGGTCGTTAAAATCTTCCAGCCTAATTGAAACTGAAATTACTTGTCAGGTCTTCTTTTGTAAAATGTTAAAATCTTGTAAAAATATGTCCACTGGTTTTCAAGTTGTTTCGTGCTTACAGACAGCCAGATGGACTGAGTGAACTTAACAGGCACTTCTCAGGGTTGCGGACAGTCATAGATAGGTTCATGACAAGCCACAAAGTGGATAATGCTCACTTGGATACTCAGGAGTATACTGTATGCAAAGCTATTATAAATTTACCTGTTGTTTGGTATGGGCATAAAATATGGTCTTTCCTTTTAAAGGAACAAGCTGAACTGGGACATATTTTAGAAGAATCTTGAGGGTATGTAAGAGGAAGAAGGTAATAAGAGACTGGAAAAAATTGCATGTGAAGAGCTTCATAATTTTTACTTTTCACCAAATATTATTAGTTCGATCAAAGTGAGGAGGATGAAATATTATGCATAGGAAATAACAGAAATGTGTACAAACTTTGAACCAGAAGTTGAAACCTGTGTATACNTACTTGTCAGGTCTTCTTTTGTAAAATGTTAAAATCTTGTAAAAATATGTCCACTGGTTTTCAAGTTGTTTCGTGCTTACAGACAGCCAGATGGACTGAGTGAACTTAACAGGCACTTCTCAGGGTTGCGGACAGTCATAGATAGGTTCATGACAAGCCACAAAGTGGATAATGCTCACTTGGATACTCAGGAGTATACTGTATGCAAAGCTATTATAAATTTACCTGTTGTTTGGTATGGGCATAAAATATGGTCTTTCCTTTTAAAGGAACAAGCTGAACTGGGACATATTTTAGAAGAATCTTGAGGGTATGTAAGAGGAAGAAGGTAATAAGAGACTGGAAAAAATTGCATGTGAAGAGCTTCATAATTTTTACTTTTCACCAAATATTATTAGTTCGATCAAAGTGAGGAGGATGAAATATTATGCATAGGAAAGAAGAGAAATGTGTACAAACTTTGAACCAGAAGTTGAAACCTGTGTATACATATGGTGGTACTATTTAAAGGAACAGGATGTGAGGATGTGAAGTGGATTCCTCTTGCCCAGGATAGAATCCTGTGGTGGGTTTTTTGAACACAGTAATCAACTGTTTTGATAGATTTCACTTTTCTGATATATCATCGCTATTAAAATAAGAAATACATTACTATCTTAGTGTATCTAAATGTAATTAGAGGGTAATTTTTGTCTTATTCTAAAATTAGTGAGCCTATGTTACTGTAATTGGGAGGGAATTACTTTACTAGCTGTGAAATTTTTAGCTTCCTAAGAAGGGAATTATGCACTTTTGTATTTTGCAGATTCACAGAATGTTCCAGTACAATCTACACTGGCTGCATGTTTGCTGTGGCCTGGCAGTTGACAACAAACAGGATTATTGTTTTAATATGTTTGTATTTATTTCAGGTCCCAGTAAAACATTAATGTTCTTCGAGGGCTGTTCCTCACAGCATCTTGGTTGCACAGTATTGCTTCGTGGCACAACAAGCAGCGAACTTGCTAAGTTGAAACGTGTTGTCAGTCATTTAGTGTTTACTCAGGCCAGTTGGAGGCTTGAGAAATCATTTCTCATGGATGAATTTGCTCTTCCTCCAAGTCCTCCAACTGATACTTTCTTTGAGGAACCTGTAACCAATGTTACTTCTCAAAATTACCATATAATTTCATCTCCAGCTAAGTCCAAAATGTGCCTTGAAAATGACTCTACAGTAGTTTTGTCAAACAGTGAAATATTGCATGGACGTTCTGAGGATGCAGCTGAAGACCCTAAGATACGTCGGCATGTATTGCCATGGTCTTCTGAGATGAGGATGAGCAATGAAAATGTTATAAATGACACTTCCAGTGTACCTGTGGCATACACATTGCCTTGTAATTCAGCAGGAGTAAATGCCAAAGATGTGAAAGTAAGATCCTTTAACAGAAATGATGTTCCTTTCAGTTACAGTGTGCAATCAAATAATAATTTACAAAGTGAAAATTCCTCCATTATTAATGGAAAAAAACGTGAATGTTGTGACAGAGCAGAACATATTAGTCCTAGTTGTGAAAATTATAATAAGGGTTTACCAAGTGGCAGTAGGAAACAAATTGATGTGTTGAATCATTCAGCTGGCGAAGATAATATTTGTGTTTGTGAACCAATTCATCAGCTGACACATGGTAAAGAGGCTCAAGTATCATCAGATCAGACTGACTGTGATTCTAGTAAAAAACAAACAGTTCGTATTGGGAACAAGGAGAAATCTCTGAGTGAGGAGAAACGAATGAATGTTGAGTCTGTGAGTGATTTTAGTGATCCCCTACATTTGTACCTGAATCTGGAAGATGAAGTTTTCAGTGTTGGTAACCAAAGTACTGGTTTTGGACAGTTGTCAGTTGCTGAACTGCCGCTCACCAATAGATTTCGTAAAGCTTTGGATGACACCATACTCTCTTCATCACCATATCTACAGGTAATGTTTTCCTTAGGTTATCCACAGCCTCTCATAACTGCATGAAATATGGGGTTTCTGTGATGGTGAAGGTTCTTACTGTGGCCTTCTGGGTTATAACAGTGTGTGGTCAGTCTATCAGGTGGGTATCAATGTTTTGGAGGTACATTCTCTTTCTGTCTTAGGGTAATATTGACTCGGTTACACTGGTAGCCTAATTTCTGCCTAAAAGGGGGACTTTCTCCATAAGACTTTCAGATCCCCTTCTTGATATTTATATCTCCTGAAGAAAGGATACCCAGTATTTTGAAGCCTCCAGGAACTGGGGTCGTTCATTGTACACCTGTTCCACTGAGTGTGCACATCAGCTGTCCAAATGATTGAAGTTTTTTGTGGCTTTTCTCAGTACTTTCAGGCAAATGCTAAGGTAGTACCTATATAGGCTATGATTGCTTCCTTCCAAGTTCTTTCCAATTCATCATTTATGAGGCACTCCACCATTCGATGCTATAGAATCTATATATACCAACAGTGTTATGAAAGAACCTATCCATCAACTCAGTACCTTCAGACCATCCAGCTGTATCTTGTGGAATTCCCCATCTACCACATGGGCCATGCCCACTAGAGGTTACATGATTCTCTGAAAGGGGCAAATTATAAGGCACTGCAATTGTAACAGGATTAGTTGGGACTACAGAAGTGCCATGCACTAAACAAACAGTTGGTGATGATTTTCTTAATTTCATTAGATTACTCACTGATCACAAAATCATTGATTTCTACTGACATATGTCATTAACAGTGCACACACTAAAATATGAAATTTTGGTGATTTAGTGTAATTTCTGTGTGGCATAGCAATTGCTGATGCATCCAGTGGAGGTGAAAGAGCTTTCCATTATTGACTACAGTCAGTAGAGGTCGCTGAGTGAGAGTTGGGATTCTCACATCAGTGAGTATTAAAATTACAATGTTCTGGGATGTAGTATCATGTAGTATGACAGATGGCACCAACGTTCCAAAGAACCCTGCTCCCTCTCTCTTCCTACCCTGAAGATTGAGGAAACACTGGTGCCTATCTACCAAACTACATGGCTTCACGTTGCAGTAGACTATAGTTTAATAAGAGAATGACATTGTACAGGATGTATGATGGTTGTCTCACAGGTATATAAATAACAAATTTCCGGTTTTGTTTCCTTTTTCACAGCAGAAATGTATCTGTACAGGTTTTGTTAAATATGGTGGTGTATACAAAGTTTAAAAGTAGATACGATACTCATGTAATTGGTTGGCTCTGATACACTTTCTTACAGGACCTGAGTACAATATTCCATCATAGACCCATTGCTAGGCAAAAAACTCAGAACAAACAATGAATACAACCATTTCTATGCAATAGGCGAATGAACAAACAGCCGTTTCTGAGCAATGTTTCAGTAAACTCATTCCTGCAGATACGATATCCAGGCTATCACTAGGCAACATCCCATAACAACAACAGAAAAACTGTTTGAGGCTGTTTTTTCTGTCGGGTCTGTCCCAAGACTATATAATGAGGACCTCAGGCCAGCTGAGTGAGTTCAATTGCACGATATTCACCAGCCAGTAACAACGTGAGTGTGGGAAACTGAAGAATCTCCACTGTTGGAGGCCGTTGCTAAGGAGTTGCTGTTGGAGACACAGCAGGCTGAGAAAAGACTTAACGTGTAGTGATTTGTAAAGTGTGAAGATCAGTGATAGTGCTGTAACTGCTTATAGTTCTGACTGGTAGGTATAAGTAGTCAATAAATCCATTCACCCGTCCATACCCCATCTGTAGTCACACCCCCAAATTGTGACCATATAAAGTTGTACATTCAGGTTTTAACAGAATTTCTACAAACATTCTGTGAAGTCAGTCCCAGTGTAGTGTGATTTTCCAGTCTGTGTTTTCTAAAGTTACATTTTATGTCATTAAGTGAATCTCTGGTGTTTGAGGAAATACTTAATTTAATAGATGAAGTCCCAGTTCTTTGAAGTCAATGGGTGGTATGCTGGAGTTGTGGGTGCCTGACTGCTGGGTAAAATAATGGAATGCAATAATAGTAGCCCAGGTTGGCATATACGAGTATGTTGGTAGGTATGGAAGTGTCTAATACCACAGCTGGAGACCAAGGTTGGCATATTGAATGCATCTTAGCTACAGATTTGTAGACAAATTAATTGTGTTATGGTGTAGCTGGGGTGCAAGAATATTGTCATGTATTTGTGGTTAGTGTGACTAATAATAATGGGTTCTGGATTTGATGATTGGGTCTATTGGCACTTCTTCACAATTACAGTCAATTGTAAGAGCTCACACGTTGAAGTTCTGAACGATGTCTGTCTGATGAATTTGTATGAAGAATCTCTGCCTTGAATGCACGATATAAACTCCGTCATAAATGCAACACTTTATTGTAGTTCTTGTCCCCCTTCTTTCACACTGCATGTTTTGGCTGCAACCGGCCATCATCAGGTGTATTTCACTTCACGTAGCTGTCACACTGCACTCAATATTAACATTTAAACTTCAGATTTCCAATTGTTCATTGCTCTGTTGTCAATCGGCACTCAATATTCCAGAACTCCCCTTGTCGGTTTTGTCAAATATGTTTAAAATCTTTATTAATATTGATTCGTCGATTGGTTTAAAATTTTAAATTCTCAATTTAGCTTTAATATTTAAAATTTAAATTTAATTTAAATTGATGACAGAGCAATGAACAATTGGAAATCTGCAGTTTAAATGTTAATATTGAGTGCAGTGTGACAGCTACACGAAGTGAGATACACCTGATGATGGCCGGTTCTGGCCGAAACATGTAGTGTGAAAGAAGGGGGACAAGAACTACAATAAAGTGTTGCATTTATGACAGAGTTTATATTATACATATAGATGTGTGTTTAGGAACTTGATACTTGGCAACAACACGTTTACTGATATTTGTTATCGCGGGAACATGATTTCTGAGCCATTGCTCAGCAAAGGATGTCCACTCTAGCTCCACTATTGGCTTTGAGGTCTCATGTTATAGGGTAATACTGTTCCATACCTAGCAACACATATGCCAGCCTGGCCTGCTGTTGTTCTGGTTGATTACTTTACTTAGCCTGAAGCACACAGTTCTCCAAACAACACTCCTCGACTTCTAAAACTGGCATTTCTTCTGTTAACTTCAGTCATTCTTTCACACCAGAAGATTTGTTTAACAATATAAAATATAAATTGTTGCTAAATAAGCTGAAAGTAAAGAAGGGAATGTGTTTTGTGATAACAGTTTACAGTGCCATACCTGGAAACGGAGCGCGGACGGAATTGTGCTCTTAGGAAATTCTTCCCAGACGAGATCTTTTGGTCTGCCCAGTTTGATATGCCAGCACCAGGCAGCAACAGCAGCAGCAGTACCAAAGTGATCACCAATGGTGAAGCAACTGATATGATATCATGTAATGAAGTGGACTCCAGGTTTAAGGAAATGAAGGTGGGCTTGGCAGTTTTTCTCTAAATGAAGTGACAGAAGATAACTGAGAGCCTATTTATGAAAAGAAAAGTGTTTCCATCCATTCTGAGTGTTCATGATACATTATTCATGAGGTAGCAAAATGTCTCCCTCTTCTCCTGTCAGGTCAGGTTACAGCTATCTCCAGAGACCTCCATTTGCTTTCCTGTGGTTGTCCTCACCAAAAGAGATGCTTCATTCCCATGCATTTGTCTCTATGATGCTTCATTCAGGAGATTTTTCTCTCTTACATTTCCCTTCTCTTAACTTTTAGACTTGATGGTTTCTTATGGCTTTTACATTTTCTTCTGTATTTTCCTTGTAAAATTTACTCTCCATTAATGTGTGAGGAGATAGTGTTAAGATGAAGGTAAAGTTACATCAACCACTGCGCATCCCTATTTAATCCATATGGATATATTTTTATGATCATACTTAGAAGAGAATGGTGTGCACTCTCACTTTTGGAAATAACTGCAGATCTCATATTATTTTATAGTTAAAAAGATTAGATCAAGTTGAGAACAGATACCTCTGCCTTGATTTGAACGTTAATTTTTCAATTTTGAACTTCAAGATTTTCAAGTAACTACTTTTGGATTTGTACAATAGCATGTCTGCTCTGCCCTGCCTGGCTCAGTGAACAGTATATTCCAAAACAACCTGTAGCTGCCTTCTTGTGCACCCTGTCCTTTGTCATCCTCTTTCCTACATGCTGTGTCTCTATTCACCCCCACTTATTTTCTGCCTGCCAGGGCACAGGGACATTCAGGATTTAGACTTTAAACTATGGCAAGGTTTGTTGAGTGAGCTAGATGGATATTTTACTGAATGGACACTGCAAGGTTCATCCTGTTTTTTTTTTTTTTTTTTTTAATTTTTGTCTTCGTCATTTTCTTTTGGTTTACTCTCCTCAAGCAGATCCCCATTCTTTGTATACATATTTCTTGTCTACCCCTATGTCTTGGATAGATTCCCATGTTCTGATTTTCTTGTATTATATTCAGAATTACTGGGGATTTTCATTTGCCCGTTGTCTAATATTTTACAGAACACAGCACTTTGGAAATGCTATGGTCTTGTAGAGTATCAGATGATAAACAAATTAAAAAAAAACAGTAATCTGCAGTGTTATACACCAGAACTCTTAATAATATTGTAGCCTGTAGACCAATTGCTAGGTACTGACTCTCTGAACAACAACCACTGCTAGACAGTGACCACAGAATAAGCAAATATACAGCAGTTGTTGCTGAGTAATGACTTCGCAAACAAGCATGTTCCCATGACAGCAATTGAATTACAACAATGAGTGGTGTTTTCTACATGGTATGTTCCAAGGGGCTTTAAGTGGGAGAAGTTTATAGTGTAGTCAGTTGTAAGACAGTCATCAGCCAGTAAGGACATAAGCAGAGGACATTGTTAGGATTCGTTACCAGGAAACGACTAGTGAAAATAAACTGAGAAGACTTAGTGTATGCTGTAGTGAACTGTAGTGTGTGTGAATTAGTGATAGCACTATAGTTACTCGTAGTTATGATCTAGAAGTTTTCAGTAAATCCAATTACTAATTCAAACCCCATCTGTAGTCACTCATACATGTGACAATATACTTGTATTGTATCATTTCTTATATATTTTTAGGCCATAATTTCTGTAACTTCCCGCTTTCCATATTTTAAACCACATCAAGATAACTGGTCACTTTTATAAGGGGCAGTCAAATGAAAACTGGTCACCACGCATAACTCACATGGCTTGCAAGTTGGTAATACTGGAATTTGCTTATGGTACAGACGTCTGGTGGGGACTCGGGAAAGCACAGTGACAACATGCCCTTGCACAATAGTCGTTTGTTTATTGTGCTGGAAGTAAGGTTAGCACTACGTGTGGTCATCCAACATCAGTAATGGAGGCGGGTAAAGAAGAACAGCGAAGTGTAGTGCGCTTTTTGACTGTTGAAGGAGTAGGAGGACGAGAAATTCATTGTCACATGCCTATTGTTTACGGCGAACACATTGTGACGGTCACATGTGCTGGCATGACATAAGAGATTCCGAGAGGGACATGTGTCACTGCAAGACGATGCTTGCCCAGGACAGGCTCATCATATCATCACTCCTGATGTTGTTGCGTTGGATGGTCATATCCGGGCAAACCAACAGATCACTAACTCACCTCCAACAAGTGCCAAGGTCAAGAAAATGTGGATCTATACATCCACTCCCCCATACACTTTCATGGCTTAGTGCTTAATTACTTAAGCATGGAGACAAGTTTACATTTTTTTACCTTAGGAAAGTTGTCTCAGAAAATTACTGTTTTCATGCACTTATATATTTAACTCTTTAAATCACATTGGTTACTATATGTACTTTCTGCTTTAACATTTAATAAAGCTGGCATTATTCTTATAGACTGCACTTATGTATTTAATATAACTCTCAGAATAAACAATTGTTTCTGTAAGCAGAGTTAATAATTTGGTATTTGTCATGGAGATCTAATATGTTTTCTTTGATGTAAAACTGAACTTTGATGTACTGTTAGATGAACTTCATTCTTCTAAGGGTTAATGATGAGTTTTACTTTTTCACTGGTTGAAACAAGTGTCTATGTTGTTTCCAGCTTCTAGCCCAACATCCTTTTGTGTCTGCAAAGCTTACAAGTGCTGTCGATAGCTGTGAAGTGCAGAGTTTGTTGGCCCATTTCCGAGCATGTGGAGGTCGAGTTACCTCAGCTTCGACTTCTCCTGAGCCACTGCATTCAACCAAGGCACCAGCACGAGTCAACAGTACAACAGCAGATGCAACACATTCATCAGCTGCTGGTAAACAGAGTTCTTGGCCCGATGCTCTGGACCCTGCAAATCATCAGCGTCTAGCTGTACTTTTCTGCAGCTATTCTCATGAGTCCCACAATGCCCCGGCATTCTGTGTTAATCCATGGTAAATGTGTTTTAAAATTATATGCTAGTTATTAATTCACACACCGTGCAATTTTTTATTTATCAAACAGTTTCATTTTGTCATAAAATTAAAATAATCTGTACAATCCTCATTATTTTTGTATTTAAAATTGTAGTGCACACAGGAAGTACAGTCCTGTTTGATATACGATGGGGTACCCAAAAGAAACCGAACTAATTTTTTTGTGGGCAGAGCTTTTGTAGTACCGCGTTTTGCTGCTATGAGCGCATAGAGCTAACATTCCTGAGTCGATAAGCCGACTACCGTTGCTTCAGAAGGTAAGGACTAGTTTCGGCAGAATTTATAGTGACAACTGTTTTGTGTGATCGTCGTTTTTGCAATGGCTGATTTTCATGAACAGCGTGTGGCAGTGAAATTCTGCTTTTTGCTTGGGAAAAGTGGAACAGAAACTCTTGAAATGTTAAAAACGGCGTACAAGGACGATGCTATGGGGAAAACTCAAGCTGCAAAGTTTTATCAAAACTAAGAGAACATCTCTTACAATATTAACTCTTTTAAGTAATCAGTTGGGGCATGTGGTAGCATAGTTGGTTGAGGGGCTATGCTACAAGCCGGAAGGTTGTGGGTTTAAGTCCCGATGAGGTCATCAGATTCCTTCAGTTGACCTAATCCTTCCAGCTGCACTAGGCTCTGGGGTTTACTCAGCCTCTAACAGAAATGAGTACCAGGAATTAATTAAATAATTTTCTTGGGAAGTAAAGCGCGGCCAGCGCATAAGGCTGACAACCTTACCACCATCTTTGAGCCGATTGTCTAGATAGTGTGGGACCCTCAATGTCTCACAACCCTATGGGCCTTCATGGCCTGGTACAGGGATAGCTTTACTTTTTTTTTAAGTCATCATTTATGTTAGTTTTAGTGTATTTTTTTTTTCTTGGCACTACAGCCCCAGTGGGCCTAGGCCTATCTCCATGAACTTCTCCGTTCACTTCGGTTTTTCAAGATCTTAGACATACGGTAGGACTCCTTGGGTGGGTGATCAGCTCGCTCTACCTGTACACAAACAGAAAAACGCACACAACCATCCATACCCTGAGTGGGATCTGAACCCACGATCCCAGCTTCCGAGCGAGCGAAGACAGTGCACGCCTTAGACTGCTTGGCTACTCTGACTGGCGGGTTAGTGTTTAACTCTTCCAAATAATCAGTTATGTGAGGGTTAGTGTTGAACATTTTACCCTTGAGATATTCCAGTATGAAAAATAACCTGGGTTTAAATTGGATAACTAAAGTGGCCATTTAAAAGCTCCACCACGAACATGAGGAAATCTATTTGAGAGGATTCTGTTTCTGGATGTTCCCTGCAACAAGCCCAACCAAACTGGCTGTATGAGGGCTTAATTCCATGTTTCTGGAACCAGGCCTTATTGAGATCAACACTGTAACTCATGAGAAAAGGAACGTAGCCAGTCTACAGGACACAAAGGTGGGCCTGAGAGCTGACTGTGTCTTCAACAAACACAGATGTGAACATGCCAATACTGGAGAGTGCACATCACACTGTAACTTGCGGAGATGTAGGGATTGTCAGTGACAGTGACAGTGACAGTGACTTTGTAACAGACACCAACAAGCATTCTGTTTGTTCATATATCTTCCTAAATGAAAACAGCTTTCATCATGCAACCATATTCTGTTTAAGATGTACACTTTGTTCTCAAGAAGGACTGAAAACTTGTTGCAGAACACTAAAAATCTGCACCCTCATAAGTCACTTAAAGATGTTACGAGTTTCTCTTACAGTGGGACTCTTCACTAAGATTTGTCAGACTTCATCCACCACATCAGGTGGGCATAGGGATGGGTTGCCAGCATGACATTTGTGTAAGCTATCCAGTTCTTTAAACTGCTTAACTGAGTGCCAAACAGAATTTTCTGTTGGTACCTTACATAGCAAACTCTGTACAGAATTTTTTATGCACTCGCCACTGAATTTCCACTTTTGCAATACTCCTTTATGGTGAAAACTTTGATCTGCACGTTGTAAACGTTCATGGTGTTTGGGGTTAAAATGATGCCATTCCAGTGCTACCAACTTGAAATGTAAGTATATGCCTAGATTGCCCATGATACTACATGGATTAGAAAAATATGAGCAACTGAAATGGTTTCATGAATAAAAAAAGTCCCCCTGAATTTAAATTTGAATGTACAGTCATGTCACAGTAAGTAAGTATGAAAATACTGATGAACTAGGTAAATTTAATTTCGTTTGTGGAATTCAGGGACACATTTTATGTTAAAAATTGCATGACTGAGTTACTGTAAGTTTAACATAGAAACATTCTTAGTTTCAGTTTCATAGACCAAATGTCTGGGCCTAACATAATGTCACATACTGGATATGTCACATGACAAATAACTTTATATGGGTCTCGGATTTAGCGAATCTTTATTGGACACTCACTCTTACACACTGTACAATTATTTTCGCTTGCAATATCACTCGGCTTCTGGCCCAATACTCTCATACTCAACTATCTTTGGCCGTGGTTGGATCTCAACTGTCTCTGGCGGTGGCTATCCAAAGATTATCTCATTCTCAATACTCCAGTCTTCAATATTCCAATACTTAATACTCATTGCGTGTCATAAGCTCTGCTTATATAGGGGTTATGTGGACGGCATACCAGACACCATTCCTCATGGTTCCATTACTGCTGTTCAGACAGTCCATTGTTGCGGGAACTCTTCTTATAGAATACACCTGTAACATGTTTCGTCTGATGCGTTGTTACTCAACGACAATTTGTTGCCATAATTTGTCTCTGCGGGAATTCCACAATTTCCACGTATTCGTTGCCATGGAAGTGTCCATTCCTATTGTAGCAGTTGTCATGGTGATGGACGTAAGATAATGCATCACATTGCCATTAGATGAAAAATTAATTTAAAATAATTTAAAATAAATTAAAACCAAGTGTCAGTGATAGGATGATGAATGGATATGGAACAGCTGGTGGAATGAGAATTGGCAGAGAAGAGCAAAGTACTGAGAGAAAACCTACCTCGGTGTCACTTTGTCCACAGCAAATCCCATACAACCTGATCAGGGATGGAATCTGGGGCCCAGCACTGGGAATTCTGATGTGTGAACTGAACAAGAATAGCAGGGAGATACCTGCTTGCTCCTTTGAATATGTAAAGTTATAATGGAGGCACTAAATATGCCAGTTAACTTGTTTCTCCTTTAGAATTACTGGGTTTTTTGGACTTTGTCCATTGTATGATTACTTGTTTTTCCTTATATTCTCTTTCAATAGGGTTGTATACATGGATTTCTATGGACATAATGACATCCCCCTGGGCAGCTTCCTAGAGCGTTACTGTTTTCGTTCATCTTATGCCTGCCCATCTGAATCATGTGAGACTTCCATGGTGCGGCACGTTCGTCGGTTCGTGCATGATATGGGGTGTGTTCACATAGTTCTGAAGGAACTGGACAAACCAATCCCTGACACTGAGGGAAACAACATTGTCATGTGGAGTTGGTGCAGTCGTTGTAAAATGGTGAGTTGTGTTGGCCAGCATTGTTATGAAGCATCACTGAGCATGTTAATCCTGTAATATCATGTAAGACAGATCAGTGGCAATATGTACTAACTGGTTTAATATTAAAAACTCTGCGGTTTGTCCACATGGTGTATTTATGTGTTCCATATAGTTCTCACAGTAAACATTAGTTCTTTTCATGTGCAGAATTAACCATTTTGTTCCTTCAAGGGAGACGCACTGTCTTTCCTATGAGGAAGAAACAATGTTTTGTGTTCTTAGATGGATTCAGGCTTCAGAGCGTTAATAGAGTGTTATTGGAATAGTCTCGTGTTTGAGACATAATAGGTAGAGGTACTCTGTGCTTAATTAAGCTCCACACTGTGAACATATGGGAAATGGGAGGGCGGTCTTGTTTTATGGATTGTTAACCTTGGTACAAGACAGAAGTGAGAAGTCAACTTCTCAGCATGACTGTTTTATCCAAGGGAAAGAATTCCTGGTACCCACTGGATAGGAAACTGTGAGCCGCAGTTGTGGTCAAGACACAATGGAGAAGATAATAATCTCTGGGCCTGCCAGGACTCAATGCCTCAACTGAGCTACACAGTTGAAATGCTGACCAGATTACTATCAGCCCTGTCTGAAGGTTCTGGTACAGAACCTCAGTATTTGCAGGCATATGGTAGCACAGTAACTTTGGGTATGCTACAACCGTTCATCATAAGAATTCTTAGAGCATTCCTTTTTCATATAAGTTTATGTTTTTGGTTTTATTAATGCTTTTAAGCTTGAACTTCGTCTAAATGACATTTAAAAATCAATTCAATCCTGTTCAGGAAATGAATTCCATCTCCTAGTGTGAACACCAGTTGCTTAATGCTGTTCAGAGAAAAAATTACTGTTTATCCTGTGATTCATATGAAACACACAAATAACTCCTGTGGGCAGAATGCAGAATTTATGAATTTGAAAATAAGTGGCACTTGCAACAACCACTGTCCTTTCCATTGTTAATGGTACTAGGAGGAGTGAGTGGTGTTTATGTATTGCTGGTATATGGGAAATTACTTCTTGTCCTCTTCCTTCATCATTAATCTGTCAGCCGACAGGTCCACAGTCTCTTCCAAAACAGTTCCGCCACTTAATGCAATCTAGAGCTTTCTCCTTCAAATGAGAATATCCTATTCTGTCCCCAAGGTCATCCAGCATCTTCTTATGTTTTCTTCCTCGTCTTCTTGTCACTTCTATCCGCCCCTCTATCTTTCCTTCAATAACTTATTTTAGAAGGCAGTTACTGCGTAAGATATGACCAATCCAATTAGCCTTCGTTTTCTTATTTCATGTAGGATATTCCTCTGTTCACTGACTCTAAATAACGCATCTTAATTTCTCACATAATCGGTCCGACTGATCTTCTCCATCCTTCTCCAACACCACATTTCAAAGCTTTCCAGGTGTTTCTGATCTACTGTCCTACATGTCCAAGTTTCAGCCCCGTACAAAGCCATGCTCCAAAGGTAGCTTTCACTAGTTTCTTCCTCAAATTTAAGTCCAATTTGCAGGTAAAAAGATCCTTCTTCTTGCTAAATGCAGCTTTTGCCATGGCAATCCTAGATTTAATTTCACAAGTACACCTTCCATCATCTGTTAACAAGCTACCCAAATATTTAAAACATTTCACATTCTCCAGTTGTTTTTGGTCTATCTTTATTGTGACTGGGGTTGGTTGTCTCGAAATTTTCATTGCTTTTGTTTTTTCCACATTCATTTCCATGCCATAGCACCTTCCAATTTCGATTAGTCTATCAATCATGCCTTGTAGCACAGTTTCTTCCTTAGCCATTAACACAGGCTCATCACTGCTTTTCAGTCTGTTAAAGAGATGAACTTGTTTGATACAGTTTTGTTATATTCACAGGTATCACCAGTTGTGCCAATGTCAGCGGATACTTGGTCACTGTCATTTGCTAAGTACCTAGAGCTGCGTTTCCATGGTGGAATGTACCGGCGACGTGGACAGGCAGGCACTGTGTGTCCTCATTCCCTTCATCATGAACATTACCAGTACTTTGGAATGAGGAACATTGTTGCTTCCTTCAAGTATGTACAAATGTCATATCTTTGCAAGTGCCTTCTTAATATTTATTGACTATCTGTTGCATTGTCATAATGTATGTTTGCATCCTTCAGCAATCTTTATGACACATTTTTTTCAGCATAAATATTAACCACATGAGAGTCTCAAATCTGTATAGACTGAATGGTGAAAGGAAATTTCTTGATCTAAATTTCAACATTAATTTTTCCTTCTCCAACTTCAAAAACTTTCTGAAAACTTCTTTTTCTTTGTATGATGGTGTCATGTTAAATGGATTGGTATCATGTTAGCCTGAACTGTAGATGAGTCCCCCCCCCCAAACTTCCAAGCTTTCAAACGTGCAGAATGTTGTTATGCATTTTGGATACTATATAGCTAGATGCTTCTGATCCTTTTAATGTGTAACCTGCTCATAGCACAGTTTGCACTATCATGCCCAGAGAGTAATTAGCAAGAAAATGAGGGAGATGAATGTGTTTGAAGGTCAGAAGCCACCTGCTGCCATCTGGTTGCCTGAAGAGGTCCGTCAGAGTTGGACACAAAAATAGTATTTCACTGATTTACAATAGCATGGAACTGTATGCTAATGCAGGGGTCACTTAGCATAAAAATGACAGATCATGCCAAGAAGAAATATACTGGTTTGAATGAGAATAAGTTGTCAAATAGTGTCAGGTACCAGCAGTTATGACTTGTACTCTAAGTTTGTGGTGATCAGACATGCAAAAGAAATAATCAACTCCGAAGTGGCAAAATAATAGTGTCTCCTGGATGTTTATCTGAAAGTGGATACAATATGAAATGGAACTTTTGCCAGTTCTACTAGAAAATTGTCATTTGTATAAATTAAAAGCCAGAATGAAATGTAATTTTCATGCACCATCATTACTTAATAAGAAGCTGAAATTTTAAGCCCAGCTTAGGATCATGTATACAAATAACCCAGAAGAACAGGCTTTCCTTGGCAACAAATGTCTTCATTTGCCTTCACACTTCAGGGCAACAGCAACATGTGGGATACTGAATTTAAAAAGTGCTTAATATGCATCCATTTGTTGGAGCAGATGACGGATGGAAGAACTGAAATCGCTTGGAGCAGAAGATCCAGACTGTTGAGAACGCAAGAAATGCTTATGCTGGATGCTTTTAAAATCCAGTTTTGATGCCAGATTTGTGATTGTGCAATGAATACTGACCTCATGGTCATACCTCGAGGGATGACTTCATAACTACACTTTCTAGGGAATAAGATGAAAGTAAAGTTGTTCTGATGCATAATTAATAAACAGCCAGACCATGAAGACGTATGCGGAGTGGAGGTAGAGCTCCACCATTATTGACCTTTGTACTAGATGGAGGCGAATGGTCTGCTTCATGCTCTGACAGCTTCGGCTTCAGGGAAGGAGACAACACTGTTCCTATACTGTTGACTGTGTGTGTGTTGTGGGCGTTGTCTGACAATGGGTCTATGCACCACAGTGTGTTTTATAATATTTATTTTGTAAGATTTGATATTTATTTTCTTTCACATATTTGTAGGAAAGCTGTAATTGTAATTCATGAAATTACTTTCTCTATACAAACATGTCCCCTAGTATGGATTCATCCTACATTTGGAATTATCTTACATTCTGGTAAATACAGTAGCTGCTATTATCAACTACTAGTGAAAAAATTTGTCTGTCAGTGAAGAGTCTCATTCTTGTCTTGGTTTTCGAAAATTTTACAAATTCTCACCTTGATCTCATCTCTGACTGAAAAATTCTTTCTCTTGTATGCCTAATATCCTTACCTACACCTTAAAATCTAGCTGCCAGTGCCTCTAGTAGCAAGGGATTTAAGTCCAATGGCAGTGAAGGTTAACTGGGGTTCTGTGTTAATATTATAATTTGAAGTTCTTTCTCTGCTTATAAAGAATTGGAAAGGATCTGGAAGGAAAAATTTGTTACCTAATTTGAGGTAACTGTCTTATTGGTTGGTCCTTCTAATGGCGATGCATCATAACACTGTAGAAAACCAACTTCTAAGCAGTGACTGAAGTGAAGCATAGCAGAAATGCCCTACTGGCAAGGAAAGTGCTGAATGAAGAATTAATTTTTATGTTCATTGTTAAGAGGGCCTTGTCTCAGCCCAAGAAATTTGATGTTGTTTTCTCAACATAGAGTCTGGAGTTTGGTCATATGTTGTGAGATTCATTCTGGACAGTGTCACGGGAGAAGTTTTTGCTCTGGATTTCTTCAGTTTTCCTTTGCTTCTCATCATTCCACCATTGCTTCATATGCATCTATCACCACCCCCTTAGGTGTGCGATACTTTAGGCAGGCAGCACATTATCACACCCTCTTTCTTTCAGTTTGGGGCTTTGTATCATGAACATGGCAGTTGGCTGGTTACGGGTGAAGGAGGTTCATGTCTTTAATTTGTTGTTAAGAGGAGAGCAGAACAGAGCAGGCCTGTTACGTATTGTTTCAGATACACTGCCATTACGTTGTGGGAGGTCTCATTGCCACCACCCGTCATCACCACTTACTATGACCCACAGCAGCAGGCAAATGTGATTGAAGAAATCAAGTTGCTTGCATTGAAAGGCTACGAAGTTTACAGCTGCATCCTTGAAAAGCTCTGTTCATTTGGAACTGAATTGGATGGTGAGAATGAGGCATTTTTTACCGTTCTGTAAGGGAAATGTTATGGTATGAATTTCTTGTTTAGTTGATTCATTATGGTTCCTGTGACAAAGATTTTGGCAGTTCATCATAGACGGTGTGTCATAACTGATATTTCTACCATCTGTTAGCAATAAGTTGAATTATATTTTCATACATATACATATTCTATGTATAAAATTACAGATAAGATATTAACATACTTGTTGAAAGTCAAATATAGCTGAAGAGGAAGGTAGGTGGAGTTTTTTTTTTTTCTGGATATGGGATGTTATGTGAATCTTTGTGATAGGATTATTGTTAAAGAATCTGTACAGATGAACAGTGATATCTTTTCCACCACTCCATCAGAATTGTAATGGCTGCCGGCTCTAGTACAAACGAATTTTTTTGGCAGACTGTATGTCTGTGATGCTTGTTTTTCCATTCTATAAGTGGTATTGTCATAAGGGATAAGTGGTACAACTTAGAACATTTTGGGAAAGTGGGTAGTGTTATAAATTGTCATTACATTGAAAGAAGTGGTCTAGTAGAGAAAATTCTCATGCTCATCTAGATCATTGACATTTTTTCCTAATTCTCATCTTGCCTGAAGATGAAAGCCATTCTTGCACATGCCTACCGAGTATGGCTCAGAAAAATATATATTTACAGCATGTAATGAATGATTATCTTTGCCTTTTATAGGTTTAAGTGTTTTTAAGTTCCAACTCAAATGATTCGCATTCTGCTTGCTTTCATATGATTTCTAGGGATAGGATTCATGAAGCAGCAACTTCTGAAAGAGCAAGCACATTTTAAGTCATGCATTGAGGAGATTCAGTTGAAGCTTACATCGCCTACACTTGAAGCCAAAAAACTGGAAGGTCAGGTTGCCGAGAAAGGTAAGATTGTGCTGTAAAGGCAGGTGTGTGTGTTGCAATGTGGACATATTTGTATTGACAGTAAGGCACTGTGATTGGAGAGGTCTACAGAATATTCAGAATTTTTCTGTCAGTTTTGTCTAAAGTGAACTGATAAATTGAGGTAGAACTGATTGGTGATATGCTTATTGAAGAATCAAATTGAGAACGAATTTAATCATTTAAAACACAGTGGTAGCCATATATACCATCTCTGTAACATAAATGCATGCATTTGTGCACAAGTTGAATTAATGTTTCTTATGGTTCCTAGAGTGAAGAGTGTTATTTTGCTAAACATCATTAACCAAGTGGTCTTTGTAATGAAACTACAGTGTTTCCTGTGAGGTAAGAACTGAAGTTTTGTACATTATTTAGATGGACTTCAGGCTTCAGAGAGGTAGTTGTTAATCTGACATGCCACCCCACAGTGGGGCAGCAAAGAAGTGGTTACTGCAGAGGTCAGTGTAGGTCAAAGTGAAGCACAAAGGCAAGTTAAATAAAGAGCATACCATGAATGAATAGTCAGATGAATGTAACAAAACTAATAAAAATAATAACAATTGTAATACAAGTAGCAGTCCAGTGGAAGTAATAGTAATAATAATTATACAAACTGAAACCCAGAATGGAGTTGAGCAGTGCAGCTGAACAGCAGAGCAAATTCTGAAGCCAAATAGATAACAAATACATTTGGGCCGAAACACAATTTGAGCTGCACTGCAGGGAGAGACTGATTCCAAGGATGAGGTAGGAAGGGAAGGGAGTAAAGAGGGGAGGAAGGAGATGCAGAAGGAAGTAGGAGGAGGTGGAGCACAGAATGATACATTCTGTTACAAATCCATTCTTTATATTCTGGAATTCCTACAGAATTATGTTAATTGCAGAACCCTGCATACAGCCAAACTGTAGTGTTTCGGTGACTGACCTGTCAAGAGTTATCATCAAACATTTTTTTAGCTTCAGGATTTAACTTGTAATTAACAGAATTTAGTTGCCAGTGATTGGTCCTCTGTGATTTGTAATGGCAGTTAACTGTGTTTCAACTCTAATGGCTATTACAGCTGTTATGTAGTGGCAGAGAATCTTTCTGAAAACAGTGATTGCAATATGTACAACTCACTTTAACATTCAGAAACTCTGTTTTGCCAGTACCGCACCTAATGAACATAAAAGAAAACTTCCACATTTATCACTTTAATAAAATTAACAAACTAATAGAAGAGCAAAAACTTAATAAGGAGAACCATAATCAGAGTGATATGTTCAACAACATAGTAAACATTAGTACATGCCCACACATACGTCACGACACACAAGGGGTATAAATACACAACACGGTATACCTTAGACTAGTCCGACGACGAAAGTGCACTACACAATGGGACCATGACACTAAAGGTAAGACTAAAATAAGAAACTCACCTTCACATAATCTTGGATTACAGAAACACTTCATAATACCCATACTATAATTGCTGCTTCCTGTTCTACAGCCATTGATACTACATCGTGATAAACATTCTTCTTCATTTAATGAAAAGAAATTTCAAGACATAAACCGTTGGTTCTAGTTTTAACAAAAAGTGTTTATAAGTTTACTTCTAAATACTTGACTGTTTAAATAATTTAGTTATAATAACTTATAAATGTTCCAACCACTTCATGTACTTAATGTAGTTACAAGGCATAACTTTTATATATTAATGGCATTGTAATGGTGGTTTCCTAAATGTTGATCATGTCCTTCTGAAGATGGTCAACTGACCAAAACATGTTAAGGAAAGTAAAATATTGAAATAAACTTTTATAAATCAGTCACACTGGACAGTGCTACGAGTCATTTTATCCATAGTCACCCTTATATTGAAGCTGATAAAGCAGCACATGACTTTGCATCCTTTATAGCCTTGGCATACAGGCTGTCGACTAGAAAAACTAGAATTTTAGGCCAGAAATATGAAATACCTGGCCTAGATCTCTTTTGAAGCAAAAAAGAAGGCTCAGAAAATTATGGCAAGAAAGCAGGGATCCAGCATGCAGAATGGCAGTAAAGTTGGTCTCTCAGAATATCGGGAGGATGGTCCAGAAAAGAGCTCTTGAAAGATGGAGGGGGATTGGCAAACTGGGAAGTCACACCTCAAGACCTCAAGTAGTATGGCCTGTAGCAAAATCCCCCACAAAAAGGGGTGAACCAAAGGCACCATCTGCAATTCATGGTCCCCTAGGCCCCCATATTTTATCCAATTAATAAAGCCAACATAATTGCAGTCTGCCTAAACACAGTGAGGAAGGAAACTTACTAATGCAAATCAGTTTGGCTTTTGAGCAGTTTACAGTACGACATTTGTATGTATGAGGCTGCTGGATCACGTACCCTCTAATTTCAAAAGTAGTGTGTTGACGACTGCTGTGTTCTTGGATATCGAGTAAACCTTTGGCATGACATGGCACTCTTTTGACAAGTCTCGGTAAGCTAGTTGATTATTTTCTCACTGACAGATAATTTAATAGCCTTTGTAGAAGGTGAGTTTTCGATGCCAAGAAAAATAGCGGCAGGGGTTCCTCAAGGTTCCATCTTTGCCCCAATATTGTACAGTCTATATATAAAAATTACCCCTGTGGCACCTGGAACTTAACTTACTCTGTTCCTGGACAATGCCTATATTTATGCAACAGAAACACAAATGTTGAGTTCACTGCAGTGACGTCATTTTGTGGGCACTGGAAGATAGAGATCGATGAAGGTAAAACTCAGGCGATCTGTTTTTCCAGAAGACTTAGAGTCCCTGATGACGTACTACAACTAAACGGATGAGACATTTCCTTTGTAAATAATGTAACATATCCTGGTGTCACCTCACAGGAGGATGTCATGGAGGCACCCACCATATCGAAAGGAATGTAGCCAAGGCCTTGCACATGTATGTAAGGACCTAATCCTTATTTGAAAGTGTGAATTTAAATAGAGATATTAAATTTACACTCTGCAAAGCTCTGATAAGGTCCGTTATGACTTATACCTCTCCTACACGTGAAAATGGGGTGGATGCTTACCTCTTGAAACTGGAGTGCCTGCAGAACAGAATACTCTGCGCTATTGGAAATCTTGACAGGTGCACACCAGTCCACGAATTTTGTGTGCTTTCAAAATTCCTTAAATGTATGATTATGTAATTAAATTATGCAGGGCACAAGCAGAAGTAATCCTAAACCATATAAATCCAAATGTAAATGATAGCGGCCATGCATAGGAAGTATAAGAGGTTAAACTTGGGGACAGTCAGGCACATGACCGTTCAGCTGAGTAACTGCAGTTTAAGAGTACCTATAAGGCATAACCTGCTATACAAGCCTACATTCACAGGAGATCTCTGTATATCTCATGTAAATGTTACTTAGCATAGTGCAGTGACAAAGGGTGCACGGAGTCCATAGTGACCTGGACACTGTGACAGCGCAGATATACTCATGCTGATAATGCAGTGCAACAAACGTGGTGCCCCGTTTCTAAACACGTACATGTCTAGGAGATAACAAAAATCTTGGTCATGGATCTCAAAGAGACTGAAGCCAGGAATGACTCTGCTGGTAGAGGCCAGCAGCAATTTAATCAACTGCTCAGTCAGTTGGTTGTGAGTTGCAAGTGAGAGTGGCAGTTCATGGTTGGTCACGAGAAATCTCTGCAATTACTAGTGACAACAGAATAACAGTGTGGTGTAGTTGTACATTTGCAGTTATGAGTTGTTAGTGTCCAATAAATCCAGTTATCAATCCAAACCCCATGTTTAGTCACTAGTATGTGACAATGTTGTGCCCCTATGAAGGACCATTTTGTTGTTTATTCCTGACATTTTAATGAGACTGTGGATCTCTGATGAAGCTTGTTTCCATGTAAGCCATTACACCAGTGAATAGAAAGCTCACTGCCGGCCTTTACAATATCCAGGGATTGTTACTGACAATCCCTTGCATACACAACAAGCCAGTCTGTGGTGTGTGCTTTCTGGCATTCCCATATATGAACCCATTTTTGTTGAGGGCACAGACGGTTCTCAGGTTTATGTCGATATAGTTGGAATGATAAGATTAATCTGACATTTGAGATATGCTGCAGTTAATGTGGCACATTGAGGACTCTGGTGCAGCTGAGACATCTGATGGCAGATGTAGTTGTAACTTGGAATGCTGAGATTACTCTGATGTTTCAGATGTGCAGCAGTTAATGTGGCGCATTGAGGACTCCGTGGTGCAGCTGAAACATCTGATGGCAGATGTAGTTGTAACTTGGAATGCAAAGATTCAGGACCTTGTGCTGACCAGCAAGAGAGATGAGAAGCATAGGAAAAACGATGGAGGCAAGCCACCAGCTCCTACTACCAGCCACTCTCTTGAGTATGACAGGGTTCGTCTGAAAAATATCTGCTTATTTATGTATGGTTTGTTTAATGGTGCTGTCACAGGCTCACATCGTATAGCATCAAATGATGGAATAATAGTGAATTATGAAGTGGAAATGATACTGAAGGAAGCATCATTGGCCAAGAGTGGCTGAGAAATCCACAGAAAAGCTCAGCCAATCCACATGCTGAGATTTTATGTTGTGACCTCCTGAACATGAAGCAGGTCCCACTGAACCTCAATTCTTAAGTTCAAGAGGTGCTCAAAATATGAGAGAAGGATGAACTTGCACGTGTCTATAAGAGATGGTTTTCATAAAGTAGAACATAGAATTGATTTTATAAAAATGTGAACTTTAAATCATTATTTGCTTATTTATTTATGGTTTAGTTAATGATGCTGTCAAGCGGCCTTCGTAGTCTAGAGATAACGTTCCCACCTCATGACTCATGGTATGCGGGTTCAAATACCCGGCGGAGGTCGTCGAATTTTTAAGGGTGGAAAAATTCAGGGAACAAGTCCTCCGGGAGGGCCTTTAAGCTGTGTGTCCCATGTCATAACTTTACGGCACGTAAAAGAACCTCATATCCCCAAAGGGGATCACTGAGCCAAATTCCAGGACGTTTCCCACCCAACAATAGTCTCTAAGGCCTCTGATAGAAGGGGGAAGCATTATAGACCCCGCTAAGCAAGTGGCTGAACTCGCTTGCTCGGCGGGACTGATGGTACGCACCATTTATCGGTAGGGTATAGAGACTGGTAGAATATCATAGAGGGAAGCACAATAGATCAAACTGGTCGCGGTGCATGGGGAAACCCATGCTCTCTAAATAACTAACTAATGATGCTGTCAGTACTAAGTCTATAATGTCAATTGGTAGGATGAGTAGTGAATAATGAATTGGTGAGTATTTTGCCTGATTTGAGGTACTAACCTGGAATTTTCCATGAGGGACTGAGGCAGGCCATGAAACATCTCAGTGTTCAGGCTGAAATTTGAGCCAAACGCTTCCTGAATACAAGTCCAAAGCATTTCCACTTGGGCCAGCATGCTCGGTCAATATTATATTTGGATGCTGTGTTGTGTTGTGTTGTGTTGTGTTGTAATGGAGGGCCCTGAGCCAGTGTTACTCTCTTGAAGAAGGAGATGGTGAATATTATGAGGCAAGCATTTGAGAGTCCTGTGTTTTCCATATAGAGAGAGACTGGCCCTGGAGCAGTATGTTTTATATATCCTGCAACACAGCTTCAAGATTAAGATTTTGGTCTTCTGGGATGTGATGTCATATTGTCTGGTAGATATGTTCAAGTGTTTTGGATGAATCTGCTACCTTCTTCAGGGTAGAAGATCTACCAGACAACATGCTGTCACATCCAAGAATCTTTAACATTAACCACGATGAGAACCTCAAATGTCACTTGACATGAAGAAGTTTAATGAAATAATTTCCTTATGCCCTCATCCACAGGAACTTGGAACCCAGTTTTACTGCAGATTATTTTTCTTAGCACTTGTTTTCTTGGTACAAATGGAGGTTATGTTTGTCTGTCCATATGTTACATCTCAAGAAATTACTGCATGTATTTTGATGAAATTTGGTGTTTGCATGTCTACACTGAAATATTTTAAGGTAATTTAATTTTTTTTTCTGTCACTGTATTGTATAAAATACACAAGGCCGTAAATATGCTTGTTTTGTATTGGTGTGAAATGTGGTCTCACACATGAAGGGAAGAACATAATTTCAGAGTGTTTTGAAAATGGGGTGCCAAGGAGAATATTTGGACCGAAAGGGGAAGAAGTGACAGACGGTTGGAGAAAATTACAGCATGAGGAGCTTAATCATTCTCACTAAATATTGTAACGTGATAAGTAACAATAGAAGGCGTTTGGATTTGTAATCACATTTATTGGATGCTTCAACATCTCATAACTACACTGTCACACAGACTGGTGTTCTCAGTCATGGTCTTCACTGTGCTGCTTCGTAGCAGCTTCCAGCAGCGGATGTTCCCCTTCCTCTGGGCTCCCAAGCTTTCGCCAGCCTCAGCTACCAGGTTCTCACTTCTCAGAACAACTCTCAAATAACTCCCATCTCACTACTCTCCCTTAACTGACTTGTAATGGCAGCAGGTTCTCATAACCTTGGCACAAACTGCACAGGAAATACTGCTTCCAACAGTTCCTTACTGTTGCGTGATACACACCTATTACTTAGCCATGGCTGTTTCTCTGGCTCCACAGTTTTTGCTTTGAGGGAAAATGCTACAATATTGTTAGGATGATCAAACCGAGGAGAAGATGGATGGATCATGTAACATGCACAAACGAGATGAGAAATGCATACAAATTTTGTTGGAAAATGTGAAAGGAGAGTACACTTGGAGAACTTAGCTTTACTCTATGGGCATTCTTTACAGAGTATAAAACCTTGCTTGGAGGTCAAGCCTGCCTATCTGTCTGTGACTTAATGTTAGCCCCTAAACTGTTGGACAAATTTTTTTAAATGGTGAGGTGGTATTGAAGACTTGCTGAAAGTTGTTAGTCAGTTATGACTTTCAGCCATACTGACAGGTAATAAATGCACTGTACTCTTAGGTCATAAATCGATGAACAGGCCTTAAGTGTGTTTAATAAACTCAGAATGCCATTGGGAAATTGTTGTGCTGTGCTGTGGAATACACCATATAAAGTTTTCCTTAATTATACAAGATGTACCTTGAGTTTTGATACATCGAATATAATGTTATACTGGCTGTTTTGCTGACAGGTATCCAGTGGCAGTGCCCACTTTCTGGATGATATGGTAGTGGAGGTGACCCCAACAGCACAATGGGAGGACACTAGCAGCTGCTCAGAGGGTCATGAGGACACAAGCCCATCCTCTCCGGAACACGTAAGTGGTGCTTAAAGGAAATTAAGTTCTTATTTTGTAATGGTGGAATGCTGCTGTGGGCAGAGTCACGAAATGTGAGGTTCATGTATTGTCAGCATACTGAGCAGTGTTTGAACATCAGCAGAAGGTGCTGCACAGAAAAGGATCAGATGTAGATAAAAGCTTATGGAAATATGTTGGGAAATGTATGCATAGCATAACAATTCTGGTGTGTCCATCCCTTTTGTTTAATTATCTCTGAAACCACGACTTACAGAAAAAGTTCAACTAGGCATAAAGTGTGTTTTGTTTTCTTTTCAGTTTTTGTTTGAAACGTTTTTCACTTCAACAGACATTTATGCATGAATTCCATTTGAAATGTGTGTGAAAATATATATGAAGTGTCTACTGTTCTTGTTGCCCAATTGTAACAGAAATTGAAATGTGTCAGCAGTCATTAGTAAAACTTCCCAGTATAAAATTTAATGCAAAATGTGCAGGCACATACTCGTAGATGGAAGACATGGTGAAACAACTTCTCAATATAAATGCTCTAAAAAGAGACAGAATGTGTTATTTGTATTTTATCTGAATGCATTAAAAACACTATAGCTTTGTTTTCCCTTCATATTTAAATTGTTCCAGTGGCTCCTCCTCCCCAGGATCTAGTGGCAATCTGTTAAAGTGAACTTGGCTTTGTATAAGTTATGTGTGAAATGTATAGAAATTTTAAACCACAAGGTGAAGACGTGTGTGTTTCGACATGTTCCATAAGTAACAGCCGTAGCACAGTGACCGCTTGACAACGTGCCATATACCCTGCACCCTTGAGTACGGTGCACAATTCATTTTCTAAGCACATGTTGGGTCAAAGACTGTGTATAAGACAGATGCCATAATTCTCAGAGCTTATAAACAGCAGATGCAGAGGTATTAGAATTCTTCTTATTTTATGGTAAACATGTATTTCGTTCAAGGTTTTTAAAGTGAGCTAGCCCTTGATTGTTGCTGCATGACTGAAAGATTTTTCTTTACTGTAGTGTCATTTTCAGTTTCATATTGAGCACGTCTGCCTTGATGTTGAGAGCTCAGGCACTTTGCTACTACAACCAGCTACACTTGATATTCAACTTTAAGGGGTTAGGATAAAAGAAAGTGTTGAAGTATATGTGTCAAGTATAAGTATACATAAGACATAAAAAGTAAAGTTATCCTGTAATGGGCTGTGAAGGCCCATAGGGTTGTGAGACGTTCAGGGTCCCACATTATCTAGACAGTCAGCTCAAAGATGGCGGTAAGGTTGTCAGCCACGCTTTACTCCCCAGGAAAATTATTTAATTAATTCCTGGTACTCATTTCTGTTAGAGGTTGAGTTGACCCCAGGGCCATAGTGCAGCTGGAAGGATTAGGTCAATTGAAAAAATCCAATGACCTCATTGGGACTTGAACCCGCTTGTAGCATAGTGCCTCAAATACATAGTACCCTGAAATTCAGACCTGATTTTCCTTGTGTATTTGTGCTACAGTCTCGTACTTTCCAGGATCTGACACCCCATGGCTGGGAGATGGTGTTTTTCTCCTAGTACACACTTCTCTACGTGCATTAAAAGTGTATAGATATCAAGTGACTGATTGCAGGAAGTGTCCCAACATTTGGTTTCTCACTGCCTAATTGTCTCCCTATCTCTGGCGTTAGGTCCTCCAGCATCTTTAACACTAAGGCAGTTAACTCCAATTCACAGCCTTATCATTCCTTTTCTTAAGATCAATTTTAATATTATCCTTCAGTGTGTCCTCCAAATAGTTGCCTTCTAAAATATTTTCACCACCAAAATTCTGTGTACATTTCTTGCTTTTTGTAACTTCACCATTTATCCCATGTCCTCCTTTTAACTGTCTGAATACTGGAATTTAAAAAGGAAGTTAGAAAATCATATGCTCTAATGGTTTCCTGCTGAATGCCCAAGTTTAATGGGTTCTACTCCTGGTTCATATTCGGAAGGCCCTGAGTTCAAATCTTAGCCCAGAGGCAAGCTGTTCTGTATTTCATGTCCTTATTGGTGTTTTGTGATTTCTGTTAGACCCTTCCAGGAAATGCTGAGATAGTACGTTAGATGAGGCCATGACAACTTCCATCCATATTCTTTCCAAATCATTCTTCGTTAATCATGCCATCATTTGATGGTACATAGTCCGAGTTATTGATAGCGTTGTTAAATATGTTATAAAAATAAATATATTAAAAGATTTAAAAATGCAAGTAAATATATAAGAAAGAAATTTTCACAATTTGTAATTTCTGTGTAGAAACATTTAGGCATGATTATATTTTGTTGTATTCAATGGAAATTTTGTTTCCCTCTGGACAGGCATGATCTGATGATAAGCTGATTTGTTTGTAGATCAGTGGAATCACAGTTCTGGATTCCATGGAGCTGCTGGGTCCAGATGACAGTGTGAGCTCAGGTATGGCACAGGACAGCAGCCCGAGAATCCCGGCAGATAATGTCACTGTTCTGGAACCTGCCAGCAGTGAGTACTTTGCTGTGTCATGTGCACCATATAAGTAAGTGCATTGTCTGAAATGCTAATAAAAACCTACCAGGCTACACAGTGTCTTTCTGTTCACCTCCTTGAGACTCTTATATCTTAGAGGCAGCCTCTTCTGTTTAATAGGAGAAACCTGATACACCAGAAAGAAACATGATTATTAAAGAGAAGGTAAAACATTTTACCAAACTGAAAAATCAGGGATTTCTTTGGCTACTTTGCTGTAGAAGAAATGTCATTACATTACAGTGCTCTTTGAGAACAGAAAAAAAAAAGCTTTGTGTGAGTGACTGTTGAAAGTACACAGCCAGTAAGATGTGTATTGCTGTGTGTGCTGTTCATCTGTGAAGAAGAAGAATTTCAAATGCCTGCGGAATTCTGTGATTTTCCCCCTCCCATTGCAGACCAAGCTGAAACATGTGATCTGAATCCAGAGATCGTACAAGTGTCCCAGAGCCGAACTGCTGTGCCTGGCTCACCTCGTGGGCACGTGAGGTCTTATTCTGATGTAACGCCAACTGTGGCCGATGAACACGATTCGAGACAAGCCCAGCCCACAGACAAGAAGACTGTTAAGGCCATCCTGTCACACCTCCTGCCAACAACCACTGCTATGGCACCCATACAAGTAGGTCTCCATTTGAGAATGTGTATCTTCTCTGCTAAGAGGAAGTTTAGTACTTCACTGCCTGAAGACACTTGTGAGACAATTTTGACACTGAAATGAAACTTCTGTATGTTCTCATTGTTCAGAAGGATAATTTATTTTGCCAAGATGACATAATGAGGGCTGATTAGTATGTCCATTTTTAGAACAGAACTGTGTGCCACAGATTGCACTGTGACTTCGTAACCCACAAATATGAGATGCTTAAAAGGGCTGAAAGTCAAAAGTTCGACATTTCAATGGTTGAAGGTTTTACAAGCCACATAAATACTTGACTAGGAAACAGTACATAGATCACATGTTTCTAATAAAATCTGGATTCTAATGTCATGTTACATATGTGTTAAGGTAACATAATTTTGGTTTTATAAATCTGGTAAGCATGATGTTAGGATAAAGGAGCCAGTGATTTGTGTTGCTATTGGCAGAGTCCACTGAGCCCACAGGAGCACCATTTGGCCTTGACTGGCTGTTCCGTTCCAGTTGTTGTGTATGAAAATGAGCCGTCATCAATCATTGCTTATGCTCTGAGCTCTCCAGAGTATCAGCGTAGTTTGGATGATATGCTTGCTAGGAGACTCACTGCTAATGAACAGGCAACACCCAGGTACGTTCTGTTTAACCATCATTTTAGAATTTAGAAAAGACGTGTATAATGTACATTTTTATCTATATATTCTGTCGTTCAGGCAACTTCTTTGAACATTGTTTTTGTGTTGTTTGGGTCAGTGGATGAGAAGTCTGCAGTCGCTTCTTTCTTCCCATATTTTTTCCTTTCAGTTATGTGAGAATCCTGTCCCCTTTTCTTGATGTTTTTCCACTATCTTCTGGAGTATCCTGTATGCCTCTTTGTATGATGTTCTTCGAGGAATAAACTGCCTCAGTTGCACCTTACTTTACTGATTCCAATAAGTGGCCTATGGAAATGCTGAGTGTTCCAGTCATATCTAGAACAGGACAGGATGCCATCCTAATGCTGTCATGGGCTTGTGGCATCTTATAAAGCAGAATATGCCTGCGTGTAAAATAATGCAGGACTGATTCTCCATCCTCATGAGGGTAATGCAGAAGTGTAGCCACTGCTCTGAACCCAGAGGGCTCATTCATGAATCTTGATTCCCCGTAGTGCACGCTGACTGACAGAGGCCTTGTTACATGGGTTGTAGCTCCAAAAGCTGGCTGAAGAAGCAGTGTGTACACACATAAGTACAGTATTGTAACTATGAGCAGGATAACTGAATCTAGTCTAACCTACGGCAAAAGAAAGTAAAGTTGTCCGTAACTAATTAGGAACTACACCATGAAGTATGGGGGAGTGGAGGCCACGCCATAGCTCAAGCGGTTAGTCGCTGGCTTCCCACTGTGGCGGCCCGTGTTCGATCCCGGGTCTGGTTAAGTGGGATTTGTGGTGGACAAAGTGGCACTGGGGTGGGTTTTCTCTGAGTACTTCAGTTTCCCCTGCCAATCTTCATTCCACCAAATACTCCATCGTCATAATCACCCGTGGCAGGCTACAATAGGCCGATCAGTGGCTGCCGTGCCGAGTGCACCCACTTGGACTCCACCCCCCACCAGCGAAATTGGGGAGTGGATGTATAGATCCACATTTTCTTGACCTTGGCGCTGGCTCAAGGTGAGTGGTCAGCTTCACACCTGGAGAAAGAGCCCCTGGTACCCATTGGATAGGAGGTTGGGTGGATCCCAGAGCCAGCCTGAACAACATGGAGAAAAGAAAATTCTTGATCCTACTAGGACGTGAACTCTGCCCCTCGGTAATCCCGCCAATAGCCAGTTGCTATACTGACTATGCTGTCCTGGCTCCTGTCTAACCTTACATAACATAAGGCAGTATTCAACACAATCAGATCTGCTGATATATAGGGCATCTCCTCAGATATTGGGTATAGTGGACATGAGTTCAACCACTACGACAATATTTATAAAAGACTGATGACACCTTAGCATCCTACCAGTAGGTTGCATCAACTATTGGATGTTATACCATTGTCCCAGTGGAGTTTCAGTGTGTTACCTCCATAGAGCCTGCTGGAAGACAGCCTAACCACTTTAACTATGATAACTTTGCGTAAAGCAAAACAAGTATGTATAACCCACATACTTGTTTATCCATAGGCTTATATCTCACACATGTGGACAGTATAGATTGCTTTGATTTCTTTTTTAATGGTATGTTTTCAATTTTCATGGTGCCTTTAACACTGCATAGCTGTGCTGTACGATGTTGTTGGCTCACTATTGCTCGTTGATAGGGGATACCTGTATATGACAGGAATGGGAGAACACTGCACAGTGGCTCTGTAATCTACAGATTTATTAAATATTCAGTCATGCTTATTGTTAGTTCACTGCCCTGACAGTCTGATGATGGTATCTTGATGCTGAAACATGTAATCCTTTCCCTGTCATTACAGCGTATTCTTCACTTGGCTTGTTTACAGAATATTCAGCAAGCAGCTTCCTGTCTCTCCTTGTCTAATTCTACAATCAACTGTTTATTTACACTGCTTTTATTTTAGTTCTGTCAGTGATTCCAGATGGCAGGAGTGGCTCTTAATGTTGGCATAAATAATAAACAGAACTCCAATATTCTGGTACATTTTTGCAATGTGGAAATGTTAAATATACCTTGTGTCGATGTTGGTGGGAAAAAGAATAGTGATTGTTCATGTCTGATGGCAGGCTGTGAGATAAGTGCTGTTGAACCTTCCAGAGAATTAATTTATAAAGGAACAGTAGAAAGTTTCACGATGACCTTCAGGGCTTTAAGTCAGGTGAGGGCTGCTCACATTTTCTGTAGCTTCTCTTTAATTGCTGGGTTTCTGATTGCACAAGTTTATAATGAGGGTTGTGAGAACTGAGAGCTTTGTACTTCTGCAAACCATGCACAGTTGTCTTATTTCTATGTTGAATTCATGCAGTACTAACTTTATTTTGTCACTGTTACGTGTCCCTTGTCCGGTCTTGTTATTGTACCAGCATGAAGTCCATTGGCATTTCAGTGGGAAAATGTTGCAAATATCAACATCATAATTAGATTTTGAGCATAAAATATTTTGAGAAAGCAATTTCTCTGCATGTATACATTTTTTGCCCATAGAAACAGACCTCACTAAAAACACTTAATGTCATTAACTTGAAAATTCCTGGAGAGAGAGGTCCATTTATTCAGCATGTACAAAACTTGATATAATAACGTTATACAGTAACTGATGCTGCTACGAAATGTTTTAATCAAAGTCAGATTCAGCAGTACTGACTAGAGCTTAGCTTATAGTGTCATTTACTGCTTCCATCTTCTCTGTTTGAAACTACTTCCTAACATACATAAGAAGAGAATGGCCTTTTATGTATCAGGATGAGTGCTGTTTAATTTTGGCTGTGTAGGAAACTTAGCTAAGACGACTCTCACAGACTTACTCGAACTTCCCAGAGGCTGTTATGTCCATTTTGCTGAAAGATTCATTTGTGAGAGATCAAGTATGGCGAGTTTAATGTTGAGAGTAAAGTTTAGAACTGTGGTTATTATACAAACTAAACCACAAGGTAAGGGTCGGTTAGTATGTCATATGATTTTTGCAGTAAACACTGATTAATTTCCTAAACAGCATTAACCAATTGACTTTTAATGGAGATGCGGGCATTTTCTCCAAGGAAGTGTTGAGTTTTTGAAACATTGTTTGGATGAACTTAAAACTTCAATATGTTAGTTCCCTGGTAATTTATAGTCAGTTTGTACAGAGAGGTACGATACCTGATCTCTCTGTCTTACTCGCCCCATTTTCTGGTCCAGAGCAGAGGCCATCACAAAGTAATGTACAGTGCCACTTATAACCTTAGAAACACTCTGTGAGACTTGATGTTCTCACATGAATGTTAAGATTACAGTCTTCTTGAATGTGGCACCCTGTAGTCTGGTAGGCACTTGGATGTTCCCCGAACACATTGGTGCCTCTCACATACCAGACTAAATGGTCCCCATCCCGGAAGACTAATCATAATGGCAACTTGAATTGGGGTTTCACTGTACTTAAATCATGGTAGTAATTATGGCATAAAGTGTGACAGACTGAATTATGTCAGAAAAGAATTGCATTTAAATATTGACTTGGAAGGGCAAGGCTGTTGCTGAACGGTGGGAACACTGGTCGTACATTGTAAATGACAGTATCTCTTTCTGATGATTCTTGTACCGGTGAATGTTCTATAATTTTGAGGGGTGAGAAATTATTTGATTATGTAGTGATAATCGTTTTGGGGAATAATTATTTTAAGTTGTAACTAGAGTAGTAATTGTTTGTGGGCAGCCCGGTGCGCAAGAGGAGGTCAGGCCTGTCTCAGACTGATCGAGAGGTCAGTAGCTGTGCGGAGCCAGTGCAGTTTTCTGAATCTCGTTCAGGGGTTTTGTCATTCCTTCGAGGTTCCAGCACTCCGAAGTAAGTTTCAAAGAACTACTATAAGTGTGTGGTCAGTAGAACTCTTGTTCCCTTTTTGTAGCTCTCAATCCTGTTGCAATGGCTTACATCACAGACTTGCTGTACAGAGACATTACTCTTATCTAGTTAAATTAAAGTTATCCCTATAACAGGTCATGGAGGCCCATAGGGTTGTGAGATATTGAGGCTCCCACGCTGTTTAGACAATTGGCTCACATATAAAAATGCCTTTTATATCTGTTTCCCAACAAAGACCTAGTAGAAGACACCGAGAAATGTTATGAGATTGACTCTGTAATTTTGCCAGTACACGCAGTAACTATGGCTGTTAGAGCAGTATGCAAGTATTGTGGTAGAGTTGTTGGGTATGAAGAGAGTCGACATTCCTGAGTCCTTTAATTTCATGAGTAAATTTGAGGTTCTTACAGCAGTTTTTATGGAGAATGTTTATCTTCTGTAATGTAATGCTGTATAGTCCATTGAAACTCGACTGACATTTCTGGGGAACATATCACCTCCATCTTCAAGGTTGAATAAAATGAACAAGATACCAGCATGAAAGCAGGTGGCCAGCCTGAAGATGGAGGTGATATGTTCCCCAGAAACGTCGGTTGAGTTTCAACGGACTACATGGCATTATATCCCAGAAGATAGTACTCTGTGTGAGTAAACTTTAATGTCTTAATTAGAGTGTTAGTTCATCTTTAAGGTTTTCTGGACTGTATTCTGTTACATTAACAAGGAAAGAGCCATATACAGAGTAAAGAACAGGTAACTGCTCCTTTGTTCTGTATAGTTCTGTATCCCCATAGTCTTTATAAATAATTGATTTTGATTTTGACACATTTTTTCAAAGAGATTGGACAAATTTTCGTTTTCAAAGACTGCATCGTACAAATCCTTATTGTATATGTTGTGTGCAGTAACATACTCCTTGCTGCTTGCTTCTTACTGGTTGCTTGCTTGGCTTACTCTTGAACCCTGAAGATGGAGGCAGTATGTTTCTTCGAAACGTTTGTGAATTTCTACCAAATTACACAGCCTCACATCACAGAAGGTAGCATGCTTCAAACTGTTTATTGTCTTGGATTTGTGAAGGGGAACAATGTTGCTGCCACACATTTTTCGAGGCCATGTGACTGCAGGGTCATGTTTTTGATTGCACTTCATCTGACTGACTAATATCGAACCTAAATTTCTTAAAGACTTAGTTTTGAGAAATGTTGAAACTTTCATTAATAATATCTTAATTTTATTCACCCTTAATTATGCCAGTTTAAGGCCCCCCATACACACACAGTTTGGCCTTCTGATCGACCTTACAGACAAAACTGAGACAGTTTACCCCTTCCTTTCCTCCTCACCATATATGCGCAGATAAAGCGGCAGGCTTCATGCCACAATCACGGTCTTCCAGCCTATAATGTTGAGTCACACATGTCACATGCTACGGTCCTGCAGGCAGAATTGACGGACTGACAGGTTCCCACAGGCCAACAGTCCAAACGATTGGCTGGCCGGCCGCACCACACACGTCAGTTTTGCCTTTCAGTCTTCAACTGTGCAGGCCGAACTGGAGGCCAAACTGTGTGTGTATGGGGGCCCTTACCTTTTCTATGCATTATGTGCACAGGGCAAACACATTGTGGGATGTCGATGGTCTAATAGACAACCACGTAAAAAGTTTGCGGGCCCTGAAAAGGGCTGTTTGTTCGGCCGTGCTTGCGCTAGTAGCGTTTGCTGCTTTGTAGCAGACCAGGTCTTTATGGCCATTCAGCTGGTCTGGCTGGCCGGTGATGTGGTGCTGCTTGTGCTGGTAGGAACAGCTGCCTATGGTGTGGAAGATGACAGAGCCGTTGTCTCGGCGCGATTGCTGGGGAGCTGTTGCTGCTTCATGACGTCAGAGTAGCTGTGTTAGCTGTCTTTGTCGTAGCGAGGACGATTGAAGAACTGATGATAGCGACTTTTGAGCTCTGCCTTTTATATCATGCTTGTTGGGCAGAGCTAAAGTTGCAGTTGCGATTGTGAGCACTGATTGGCTAGTGCATGTGATGATCTACAGATGGGCTGGACATCGAGTGCTGTATAAATATGAATGCTGGCCACAATGTGACATTGACTTGGCTTGAGCAGAAGTTGAATGCTGTCAGACAGACGAAGCTTCGTGTTAGTATGTGGGGATTCCCACAACATTTAGAGGAGATTTGATGTTGTCATGTCAGTGAATATGAAGATTACAGGCTTTTGGGATGTGGTGCATTGTAGTGTGATAGGTATGTAGGTAGCTTAGCTAGTCCTGAAGATGCAGGCAGTTGGTGCCTGTGAAGCACTGATACTTGTGTATCATAATGCACAGTGTCACATCCCAGAATCACATGGAGGGGGGGGCATGTCCATGTGTCTGTGTACATGTTTAATCTCCAAACTCAATGAAGAGTTCTGTCATCTGGGATATAACATCATGTAGTGCGGTGAAAATCAGCTGACATTTCAGAGGAACATACTCGTATTGCCTCTGTCTTCAGGGACATAGGGTAAGGTAAGAGACTGAGAATTGTGGGTTGACTTTCACCAGTCTACATGGCATTATATCCCAGAATAATTCTTCATGGTCACTGCTATGAGAACCTCAAATTCTATAGAGTCAATGGAATTTGATGTTGGCAGGGCTACAAAAAGTTGTCAGTTTTTTGTCATATGTCGCGTGTTACACACTATATTTAAGAGTAAAGTGAATTGTTCCATTAAAGTTGTTTGGTTTTACCTCAAGCACTCACAGACATGAATTTGATGGTAATAGGAGGAAGAATGCAAAGTTGCTTCTATATCTCCATGAATTCTCTCATTTCAGCTCATGATCCTTAAATTTATCAGTTCATTTCTTTCCTCCTTGTGTTTTCCTAGGAGATGTCTTATTATATGCCATTTACATCTCACTGGTTCATATTTAGGTCTATGTAACATTTAGGCCACACTGTTACTAGTAGACCACAGAACATGAAAATTTGTTTGTTGAAGTGAAGGTTTATTACAACGAAAATTGGTGAAAATGTCTCTCTGAATGAAAAGTACACTTTTTGACTGAAGTATATACCTAAACAAAATTGTAATTCTTATTAGAATGACTATAGTTAGGAGTATCTCATTTGTCCCCTGAAGACCATTCATCCCCCCCCCCCCCCCGCNCCCCATACCTGTGTGTGCTTTCTGCCTTGAACCTATAGGAGTTCAGAAAAGACTGTAAATCTTAAAGAGTTGTTCTTTCCATTGTGACCACCCACAAGAGCCCAAATTTATAGTCGGTGCATGAGGAAGGTAGCATGCTTGAAAAGACAGTATAGTTTTCCCATGCTCTTGTGGATTCAGCTCATAACTCTCAGTATGAATACCCAACATTTTGCTGTGTACATGCTTTATATGTTATTAACATGAAGTTAATTTCTTTCCATTCTCTTCATTGTTATTGGCACAGGCATTCATATAGTTATTAGCTACAGAGTTGTTCTAACAGGATCTTGTTCCTGTACTCTGTTTCTATGTCCTTCCAAGACCTGTCATGTTTGTAATTGGTACTGTCTCCTGGGTTTGTAAGAACTTAGAGCTTTCTGTTCATCTTGTACGAGGAGACTTGGATGCTAATACCTAATGTTGAAACTGTATGCTACTTATATTTGCAGTTCTTCTTTGCTGAAATAAATATTCTATAATTTTGATGTAATACCTGTGGCTTTGCTCCATGTATTCACAATCCAGTCATAACCTCCAGGATTGGAAAAATACAACATGCAGGTTCCAAGAACCTCTTCTGAGTAAACGTTTTTTCATGAATGTGAAGACCGTCTATCTGTGAGAGTTTGAGGAAAAACTAGACCCCCAAAAAAAGCAATATCACTTTTCCTGCAAATAGTGTGTGTAACACACTGAACATAATAAGAGCACTTGAAAAATTTTTGTGTAGACCTGCCAGTATCAAATTTCATGTGCTGTATGTCTGCGAGGAGTTCTGGCTTCTGGGACATAACACAGTGTAGTGTGATGAAATTCAGCAGCCATTTTGAAGGCTTCCTCAGCTTACTATTCAAACCTGAAGAAGGGGGTGATACAGTCCTTTAAAATGTTGCTTGGCATAGTCTTGTCTCCGAATTGGTGTATCTCTTTACACCAATATGTGAACCTGGAGACAGCTCATGACTCCACCCTTCAGCCTCCACCCTCATTGGCTCATGCTCAGTTTCTATGTCGTGCTGCAGATTGGTGTGTAGGTGGGGTGGTTTGGATCCAACTGGCATGGCAACAGCATTTTGTATCACCCAAATATTCAGTCACTGAGTTAAGCATGCTTGATGAAGCAATGGAATATGGGCATGTAGGGCACTAGTCATCACAGAACATTGCTCTCTGGTTCATTGGACACAAGGCAGAGTGACTGAGTAGTGAGAGTGGGATATAATGTCTGAGGGTGTTTGCCAAACTTGATGAGAAGTATGGATGTTTGGTGGCAGCAATGCGTCACGATCAGGAGTCCTGGATGGTGTTCAGTACAGTACATCACCTGCAGCTGATATCACAGGATCCCCGGCGAATGATTCGGATGACACTACTGCAGGCAGCACTAAGGGGAGCAGAACACAGCCATCCACACACATTGAGGTAACTCAACAGCCATTTTGATTTGTAACAGCAGCATTAGTAAAGTGGTATGGATGACATAACAACAGGATTTTGTTTTTGTCAACGCAGCCAGACTGCTTTCTCGCTGGCTTTATTATTAGGGATGAAGTGACTGGAGCTAAAGTCAGTTGATATCCCAAGATCTAGAATCTATGGAGTGCTGTGTATAAGTATAGGGACAGCCATACTCTCTTTTTCAAATTATGGCAAGGAACCTTCCCTTTAGATTCTTTGCTGTAAGAAGAATTATACAGAATCTTCATATTCCTCTGCAGTTTAAACTTTGTACATTCATTTCTGACTGACTGAGAAAGGGTTGCCACATCCCACCAGTTGCAGTTTAGCATTGTTAATTTCTCAGTTTGTTGAATGTGAAGAATCATTATACTACCATAGTCAATAAGTTCGTGGACTGGCCGAAAAGCGTCGTTGCAGTGCTGTACAGTGGATTGGCTGAGGCATGATATGATGCCCTGTCAGTTCATCTCTCATCACAGCAAGAGGCAGTTGTGTGCAAACAGTGTAAGCAGAACTACAGCCTCTATTGTGAACTGCAGTTAAATGCAAGTGGCGGAAATCGAAAATGTGGCAGTTTGAACAACAGGCAAACATCAGGTTCTGCCAAAAACTAGGAAAATCCCCTAGCGAAACGTTTGGCATAGGAAGAATTGGCTGTTGCTATACGACAACGCCCCTGCACATCGCTCTGTTCTTGTCCAAGAGGAACTGACAAGGCAACAGGTCACCGTTTTGCCACACCCTCCATACTCACCTGATCTCGCACCATGTGATTACTTTCTCTTTCACCGCTTGAAAGCAAAGCTACGTGGTCGTAGATTTCAGTTGTCTGAGGAGGTCATCAATGCCACAAGAGATGCTGTACGGGAATTCCCTACCAATATGTTTCAGAAATGTTTTCTACGACTATATCAACGTTGGCAGATTTGCATAGCGGCCAACGACAACCATTTTGAGGGTTGATGTGGATCTGTGTAAGTGTATGTGAATACTTTGTAATATGATGCGATAAAACCACAGTCCACGAACTTAATGACTGCATCACGTATTACTGGTGTGTTCAGCCACTGGAACCAATGTAGCCACTTTCATATCTTTTTCCAGATTCAGTTTTCTGACTCAAGTTGCAACTTCTTTTGCCGAGTGTTCTTCGTAGAACAGTTTGCAAATCTGCGACAGATGGTCCTGCCAGCAGGAGAAGAAGGATTTATGAGGTCACTGACACGATGTGTTCAGTGGGCAGCACGTGGTGGAAAGTCTGGCTCAACGTTTTGCAAAACAAGAGGTTTGTGTAAGATATGACACTTTGATTCCTGCCTGTCACCAACACAAGAATATTCTGTTTTTAAGTATTCATAGTAATACCAGTAATTCTTATTATTCTGTGATACTTCACTAAGGCCACTGCACTCAGTATTTTATTTGACTTTGTAAGGAAATGTGATTGCTTTTTATTTCAATTTTTTCTCAGATGACCGGTTCATCTTGAAGGAAATGACTCGTTTGGAGATGCAGTTATTTCTAGAATTTGCACCAAACTACTTCAGCTATATTCAACGATGCCACACATCTCGGCAGCCTACTCTGTTAGGAAAGATCGTTGGTGTCTATAGAATTGTGTACAGGAACCTCACAACCAATGCAACACTTCGTTCCAATTTGCTTGTTATGGAGAACCTGTTTTACTCTCGGTCTGTTACTCACAAGTTCGATCTGAAGGGGTCGGTACGTAATCGGCTGGTGAATCCAACTGCTGCTGACCGTGATGGTGAGATTGTTCTACTGGATGAAAACCTACTTAATAGTAAGTATGACTGTCACTGTGGGGACAGACACACACCAGTAGGATATGGATTGGATTCACCTGGCTCATGATAGAACTGTCCAGTTACTGGCGTTTGTGATCACGGTAATGAACCTTTGGGTTACTAAGGAGCATTGAAGTGCTTGACAAATTGAGGGCCTTGACTCATTCCAACAGACCTGTCAAACTAGGCCGTTCTTTTTGTCTGAAGATGGAAGCAGAGCTACCTCCAGTTACCCAGTATAAAACCTAGACAGTGGATAATGTGTAAGGGGGAACAGACTCTCGTCAGGGTCAGCCATGGTGCTCATTTAACTGAGGGCAGCTCTGTCTCTGATTCCATCTTGGACATCAGATAAAGGCCCTCCTGCTGGAAACAGGAGGAATGAAAAGTGAATACTCATGTTCCAGACTGTGTAATAATAAGTGGATTGATTTCTTACCTTCATTTTTATGGTGTTAGAATTTGGAGTAAGGCATGTACCTGGCATACCTAGCAGGAAAGCACAATAGATCATTGAAGGTCGCAGTGTGGGTGCCTGTTTTTATGGCCCACCCCTTACATACTGACATACCTAACAAGGAACCTGATTAATTAGAGTGACATAGTACTTTCAGTCAAGATTGATAGAAAACTTCTTTTATGTTCTGAAACTGAAATAGTAACCAAAATGGACTGATTTTGCCTCCCTGAATTAAAAAGTGTTTGTAGGAGTTGTGGTCGGTGCATGTGCCCTAATTGCTTTATTATGCTCAATAATTCCTTCAAAATGCCAGTCTGGAACAATTTTCTGTCCTGTATACCTTAGAATGTCTTGGTGTAGTTACAAAAGATTTATATTTTAAATCTTATTATAGTGAAATAGTATTAATTTTGTGTTTCTGATGAACCAATGATGAGGTGTGTAGGCTGAGATAAATATACATTAAGAATTTTATTCTGTCTGAACCCCCCTGATTCTTATGGATCTTTGGCTTTTGGGTTTAGCCCCATTAATGTATGTTGAATTTGTGCCAGCATGTGAGTGAACATTACAATTTCCATATGCGTGTTAATGCGACTCAGAATGGAGAAGTGCTTATATCCCCTCCCTTACTCTCACTTTGAAACATATATATCAACTCACTTCCACCCTCTGCCTTAACATCACCCTGAAGATGGTGACTGCTGTGTACCTCAAAACATTGGAGCAGTTTCAACATACAGCATGGCTAAACCCTGGAAACTGAAGTTCCACATTAAACACAAGCTGTGAAAACCTAAGGACACAAACTTCAAATTGTGGTTCTTCTGACTTTTTATGAATGGCTACATCAGCATGCCTGTTTGTTTAGGCACAGCTACTTGCATCCAAAATAATAGGTTAAATGTCACAAGTATCTAGCACAAGCCAATTCTTCACATTCTTACATAAACCTCAGCATTATGCTTTGCCCATTATTATCCATGAGGATAATGTGCCTGACACTACCAGTCAGTGGATGCTTAGTTTGTATCTCATTTACTGAGCTAACATAGAAGAAATACAGGTTATGAAATGTATGCATACTGTAACAATTCTGTCATGTTTGCTGTCAGGAACCGTAAAATTACACAAAAAGTGTATTGGGTGTAAAATATTGTGACATGGACGGTGCAACGCTTGGTAAACGCCCCCTCTCCCGTGGTGACATAACAGCACTTCCCACAGTGACAGAACAGAGAACACTGCGGTTACTACACAGCAATAAACAACTTTCGGCAGCCTTCCCCAGCAACGCCTGTAAACACAGTGTTTACGCAACAGTGAAGCGATGTGGGTTTTCTGCTGTCCGACTGAGGCTTTATAAGGGAGACTGGAATGCATAAGGCGTGAGTTGAATTGTAGCAGCCGCCGAAGCCAGTTAGTGTTCGTAGTATCAAGTATGAATTGTAGTCCACCAGCCACGAGTTGTTATTGAGTTGTCTCGAGTGAATTGAAGTGCATACAGCAGCAGAAGTAATTGTGATACTGCAGTAATTGTGTAATTGTGAATTGTATAAGTGTAAGAATGATTGTGGAATAAATTCACTTGATCCAAAATGGTGTGAAGTTGTTTGTCGCATTACATACCCAACACGTGACAATATGTTTCATATTTCTTTACAGCTTTTGTTCTAAGCATTGTTCACTCCCATAAATATGTAGTGAGTTACACTGAGAAGCATGCAGAAATTCATGTAGATCTGTATGTAAGTGTCTGTTGTTTATTAAAAAATGATTTGATAACACAGTCCAGTGTGACTCAGTATATATTTATATAATGCCATAACATGTTTCGGTTAGTTGTGACCATTTTCAGAAGGAAATAACATGCTAAGGAACTATTACATATATCATAGTACATAAGCTTGAAGTTTTTTAATGAAGTTCTTTAATGAAGTTAAAATGTGTTTAAATTAAAAATATATTATTAATCTTCTTAATATTTCAAATCTTGAACCTCTGAGGTTTGTGTATCTGTGTCTCTTCTGTGAAAACGGGAGATTGGGGTGTAATTTGCCATCCTCTGAGATCTTGGCAGCCTTGTTTCCCCCTTTTTTTATGTAATACAGCGCTGTTGCTGATTTACACACTTTCCACGTCACCCTTGTACACGCACTGGGATTCTCTGTTTCCAGTAGTCGTCTCCTAGCAACAGATCTCAACACAGTAACTAACACTTCAAATCTCTATGAAGTCTTCTTGTTATTTCATATTCAATCACTCTGTACTCCACTGTCCTAATCTGTACTCATTTAGTCTTCACAATTCACACTTCATATTCGTCCTTGTACTCTCAACTGTTGAACCCCCCTTGACTCTCCACACCAACCTTCTCACTCTATTTCTACTAGTCTTCACTAGTTCCAGTTTGCTCACTTGCATGCTTCTGCCACTACTATTTCTCTCTTTACTGTCCTCAACTGAACTCTGCTCACTTATATAGCCGAGGGACGGATATCGACCAACAGTAAACATATCACGTGACCCCTACCCACTGTTGCTGTGTGAGGTCACTGCTCCTGTGCTAGCTACCAGACACATGGAAAACACAGCGTGCCGTACTGTTGTATGTGTATCTTGTTTACAGAGCTCTTTCCCGACAATGCGTTGATCAAATACACCATATTATATACCACTTTGATCGTATGTGTTCATTGTGTGGGTATCACCTAGTAGTTTGCCTACAGTGTTGTTTGTTTTTTCCACTCTTAAGTTTGTATCTCTAAACAAATTGTGATTTTATGTACTTACGTAATTTCCTGTGTAGGTGAATGTAACCCATTTTCTATCCTCTTCAGTGTTCCTTCGTTTATTATTTTGCTTATGTTTCGACCAATTATATGAGATGAAAATCTCATTCTTTTTGTGTCCATTATTTATTGCTATGTTTGTAAAGTGTTCAGTTCTTTCTTTTGCTATTTTCATTGATCAAATCAAAATCATTTTATACCAATTAACTAATGTGATGGATCAGAATGTATGAAGTTAAAATTGTCTGTTATTTATATCTGATTTTAAATAAAATTGGATTGTTTTTAAAAATGTTAGTGAACCTCCAAAATATAAAATTTCATGAAAGTCCATTCAGCACTTCTTTCATTGTTACAAGTGACCAGACAGACAGACATGGTGAAAGTGATCAGCTTATTTTTTTTATGATAGATGTTATCTTCAACGATTGCACTCTATAATCATTGTTGCACTTGATGGAATTCAGTTCTGATTTTATGTACATGATTAGCTCATATTTGGAGCTGGGAATATGTCAAGTATAGAAATAGTGTGCTGGAAGTAAGTGATGTGTAAATTTACATGTCTGTTCCTGATTGCAGTGTGGAGAATTCTCAGAAGATCAGTATGTTCTGTGACTAGTTGTAAGACAAGACATGATCCTTAACAAATATGTGCTTTGACTAACAGTTACAATGATATGTGTTTCAGTGACATGTGATGATCCTTTGTACATTCTGCCTCATTCAAAGACGGTGCTGACACAAGCAATCAATAATGATACACAGTTCTTGGCCTCACAGTCTGTAATGGACTATTCACTGCTAGTGGGGTTAGATAAGGAATGTAGAGAGCTTGTTGTTGGTATCATAGGTATGTATGGTGTTGGCTTTGTGATGTCAGTTATAGAGTGAATGTGTGATTGCTGCAATCCAATCATAATACTAAATAGAAATGTGCAAATTTATTCTTAAAAATTAAGTTGTGAAAGCGAACTCTTTAAGTTTCTTTGAATTACTTGAATATTCAGATCCCTTAATTCTTATCCCTTTTAAAAGTATTAGTATCCTTTTTTTTTGTTATTTATATTCAAACATAAAAGTTAAAACTGTAATTGTTACTTTGTCCAAAAAATATTGTCATGTGATCACCGTAAAAAATAAGCTTCTTACGAAAATGTACACAAAGCCTTGGACCTGGATGGATCCTCTGACCTATGCTAAAGAAAATGGACCTGAGATTCGGTACTTGGAATGGTAGAAATATGTACAGGGCAGGTTTACTCAGGGCAGTGGTGGAAGAAATCTCAAAATATAAGTTAGATTTAGTGGGAGTACAGGAGGTCAGATGGGACTGAGGTGGCATCGAACCAGCAGGGGAATATACATTTTTCTATGGAAAGGTGAATGAAAATCATGAATTAGGTACAGGTATTATCGTATATAGGAGAATCGTATCAGCAGTTAATAGGGTAGAGTTCGTTAGTGATAGGATATCATATATATACATAGGTAAGTCAAAAGTAAGTTACAAATGGATATAGAACATATACAAATAAGAGTACTAATTTGAAAAATGCTTTTGTTTCTCAACATAATCTCCCTGTACATTGAGGCTTCATAACTTATACTCTTCTCTTAGTATAATTAGAATGATCAAGTCAAGGAGAATTAGGTGGACAATGCATGTAGCATGAATGGGGAAGAATAGGAATGCATATAGGATATTGGTGGGAAAGCCAGAAAGAAAGAGACCGCTATGAAGACTAAGGCATAGGTGGGTGGACAATATTAAAATGGATCTTAGAGAGATAGGATTGCATGGTATGGATTGGATTGATCTGGCTCAGGATAGAGACCAGTGGAGGGCTCTTGTGAACATGGTAATAAACCTTCAGGTTTCATAAAATTCTGGGAAATTCTTGAGTAGCTGCAGAATTGGTGGCTCCTCAAGAAGGGCTCAGCTCCATGAATATGAGTAAGATAGAGTGACTATGTCATATAGATTGGGTTTGGATTGGCAATCATATTTATTGAACTCTTAAACAACCTGTGACTACAATTTACAAATCACTATCACCCACAGACTAGTGTTCTCAGTCACGGTCTTCACTGCGCTGCTTGGCAGCGGCTTCCAACGATGGACGTTCCCATTCCTCTGGGTTCCCAAACTGTCCCCGGCCTCAGCTGCCAGCTTCTGCAGCTCTCAACTGACTGTCTGCATGCAAACTCTCTCTTGAACTCGGACTCTACTGAGACCGACTGACTCTGTGACTGAGGCTGGGGCCATCTCATGCCAACCTCCTACTCTTCCAACTGCTGTCTCAGAAGGCAGCTGGCCCTCATTATATATAGCATTGCTGACTGCACAGAGAACAGTGCTTCAAACAGCTATTCTGTTGTTGTGTGCATGTCTGTTGCTGCCATTGCCTAGCAACAGCATCAGCTGTCTCTGCTGGCTTCACAGTTCTAGCTTTCAGCAAATGTGCTACAATATGTTTCAATGTTATTATTTGTTATCTACTATACTTTTAGCTAGCTCTTAATATTATCTAGTTGAAGGTAAAATTAATATTAAATTATATGTATATTTCAATTAGTTATTTTGCTGGTATATTAGTCACTCTGGTCTGATTCTTTCCTAGGTGGGTATGAACTCTTGCATGTTCACATGGGTTATCTCCCATTTAATTGGGTGTATTGGCACTATTGTCAGTACATTATCATATGGTATATGGAGGATTCCCATGTTGTCTTGTAGGTGGTCGTTTGTACTCTGTTGGGGCATAATACTCCATGTTTATATAGTCTTATTAAAAATATGGATCCATGTTAAAAACAAGTTCAGCACCTAAACACAAACAGTACACCTGATGATGACACAATAAAGGTCGAAAAATGTGTGTTTTTAAGATTTTTAATGTAAATAATCTATATATATTTTTATAAGAAGTCGTGTTGACAGATGTAAAAATACTCTATGTATAGTGGTTACTATACATACCACCTGTTTTTAACATTTGGAAACTCCATTTTTACCCATGGAATGTATTTATGTGTACCATATGATTCTGACAGTAGGCAGTGATTACTTCCCTACACTGCATTAATTGTTTGGCCTCTGTTATAGATTTTTACAATAGTATTTAGATGAACAATATGCTTCCCCACTTTAACTATGTACCATTATATTGACAACCTTATCTCCATCTGTGAGTCGATTGTCTAGAAAATGTGGGAACCTCAACATCTCAGAACCCTATGGGCCTCCACAGCCTGTTACAGGGATACCTTAACTTTTTTTTATTCTTATCATTATATTGACCCATCATTACATTACCATTTACACATAACACACTACAGAGACAACACTAATTTCATTTTACTTAGTACAGTTCTATCAAAAGCAGAAAAACAGTTCTGTCCATGAAGAGAAGATCTCATATTGAGATAATAATGTGTGGTTGTGAGTCAGAAATAAGCTTATAGGCAGTGTAACTGTCTTGTGTTCTGAAGTACCTAGTTTAAATCTGATATAGGAAATAGCCAGTGCTTGAGGTGGAATGAAAATAGAACCGGGATGGTTTTCCCCTTTTAATTCATAGACATAAATTATGAAAATATACCGAGTGATGTATATAGTCTGTGTTTCACCACACTAAAGCAAAATTTAGTTAGACGACACAGGGGAGTAGCCTGTACAACCATGAAACAGATAACAACAAAAACAACAAAAAAGGTATTGTACATTGCGTTTACTGCCAAAGAAGTAACGGGATGCTTTTAAGCCATTTAGAAAAGAACCAGGATGCCATCCCTCCGCATCCCACCCCACCTCAAGCCCTGGAAATATCTATCCTAACTGGAGGTTTCTTGCTACATTATTACCACTATTATTTGTAGTTATCATCTTGTATGATTTTATAGTAAATGACTGCTTAAATTGATGCAGCATTATCATATGTTGTGTGAATATGGTTGAGAGAAGATAATCTTTAATTGTACAGATGATGATCAGTTTGAAAATAATGAAATTGAGTAGCATAAGGCCAAAGAAACATAATGGTACAGGAAATAATAATATCAATTGTAAAGTCTGTGTTTTCCAGTTTTACTGTTTCAAATTTCATTGTCAGAATGTACAGAAACAACATTTTCTGTCTTTGGTGTATAGATTACATCCGTACATTTACATGGGACAAGAAGCTTGAAACAATGGTGAAATCATCAGGCATACTTGGTGGGCAAGGCAAGTTGCCTACAGTTGTGTCACCAGAGCTGTACCGAGCAAGATTCATTGCAGCTATGCATCGATATTTTCTGCCTGTACCTGATCGTTGGACAGGATTGGGTAGGAACTTGGATTGCTAAATCAGGTAAAAGCACTCAAAAATGCATACACGGTGTGTCCAGGATCCGTTAGGACTCATTTTTTTAAATTTTGCCCTGCAATACCATCTGTTGGCAAGTTGTGGCATTAAGATTCTTGAAGTTTCAGCTGTGGCTGTCTATAATTTCAAAGCCATCGCTGCATCATGTGTTCTGACAATGCCCCACCCAACAAATTGAAGATCTTGCGTGATTTTTTGGCCAGAAAAGGGATCGCAGTCCTTGATCGTCCTCCGTATTTGCCAGATTTGGCTCCAGGAGATTTCTGGTTATTCCAAAAAGTTAAGTTGGTGATGAAAGGAGACCATCATGACACCATCCAGGACTTCCAAAGGGAATGTACCACAGTTTTAAATGCGATTCCACAAAAGGAGTAGAGCGACTGTTTCCGAAAACTTTTCAGTCAATTGCAGCTATGTATTGATTCAGAAGGAGACTATTTTGAAAATGATTCATGTCTTATATTTTTAATGAACACAGTTCTAACAGAACCTGGATGCACTGTGTAGGAGCCATATTAAAATCACTTTATGAGCTTATATCATGGGACCATGTACTTGTACTGTAATATGGTGTGTTCAGGAACATGAAGTGGGTAGCAAGAACAGTGAAGTACATATGGGTAATGCTAGTTGATATTTATTTGTTATCTTTGTCTTTTTAGTGCTGTGTTATATCATTGCTTTATGTTCATAATTTGACCCTGTCTGGTCACATTCATGCTTTTAATTACTATAATGTGCTTAAAATTCTGATGAAAAATACAACATGAATGTTCCAATTGCTTAACAAAATATTCTCATCCATAGAATGTGAGAGAGCTGGCATCTGACCACCATGACCAATAATTATTTATGTTACATCCCTGCATCACAAATAATGTACATTAATTTGCTTCTAGCCTCCATTAACTTATCTCTGTTGGCTCTGCAAGCACAATATATTAATACAGTGAAAAATTCGTTATGCAGAATTTATCATATCTGTGGATGTGGGAAGAGAAAAAATAATGGGGAAACGTGTGACAAGTGTGGGACGCCATTCCATAGAAACTAATGGAATGTATTCAAAATTGTTACAGAAATTTTGGGAATCTTTTTCTGTTTTTGAATCTGCATGTTCATATTTGTTTGGCATTAATATAGGATGTGAACAGTTATGTAAATTGTGAACGAAAACAAATTATCCCCTTGATTTAGCTCATGGTGAATTGAAAAAAGCATAGGATATTTTCGCGTGTTTCCTAGGTAACGTGACAAGAAATTTATGTGGATCTGAGATTAGAGGAATATGTTTATTGGACAGTTGCTTGTTTACACTCAAAATTATAACCACTCTCATTTATAATGCCTTAGATGTTTCTTCTTCAACTGTTATACACTCTTACACCACTTGGAGTATCTTCATTCTTCTTGGATCACTCATTGCATCTGAACTATCATCAGAACTCTGTTCCTAGCTCTCTTAGCATCTAAACTGACTTTGCTCTCGTTGGATATGAATTGACTTGGCCCTCTGAACTGTTCTTCGCTTATATCCTACCCTCGGGCGGGATAGAGGTCACCTCGTCGAAAGGTTAGGTTTTGCTGTTAGCTGGAGTATTTATTAGCTGGTCTATCCATTTCCATGGGAATTCAACAATTCTGCCTCTGTTGGATAGGCAGTTTCCTATGTAGCACGCACTCTCCATTGCGCAGTAATGGATGTCCTATAGCTCGGCTTTCAAGCAGCACGTCACATTATGTTGAAATAAAAACTCGGTTAGGCACTTCATTCATATTTTCTTCTTCTGGTGTAGTTTGTTTTACACAGGTCGACGAAAAAATCTTGATCTTCTTTCTTCGCCCCTTCCCCTCTTCCCCTTTTCTCTTTCTTGCCAGTTCTATCCTCTCTTATTAATGTATTCCAGGACTTTTTCCTTTGAATTTTAACTCTAACGCTGTTTTCAGTTCTGTCCATTTTTAACTTACCTTCCATATTGTGAAAAATTGAAAGTAGGCTTATGAGATCATCTTGCTGTCTGTATATGTATCCCCCATAACAGCTTTTGAATGCCTGAACTGACCTTTATGAAAGGTGGCATGGATGTCATGCCACACACTTCATTAATTCCACCGACTGTTAATACCAACACTGTAGCCTCTGAAATTTTCAGAGTAATCATCTCAATATTGCTTGAATGTCCGAACCAGTCGTCATGTAACTTGGTATGTATATCATGCCACCAGACTCAATGGCCACTTCGTAAATCCTTCCCATTAGTAATACCAACATTACAGTCTCTCAAATTGCTGAGGCAAGACTTTAATATTGTTTGATCCCAGTCTTCATGAAACTTAATATGTATATCATGAAAGCATCTCAAGGCATACTTTATGAATCCCTCCTTGTCAATAATACCAACATTGCAGCCTCTAACACTGTTGAGGGAAGAAGCTTAATGTTACTTGAATGCCAGAACTAGTCTTCATGAATCTTGGTCTGTGTATCATGCCACCTGAGCCTATCTTAGTGGCATACTATAGATCCCGCTGTTCAGTAATACCAACAGTGATTCTTCTCAAATTGTTGAGGTAGTAACTTTAATGTCACTTGAATGTCTGAACTGATCGTTACCAAACGTGGTGTGTATGTCATGACACCTGAGGCCATTTCAGTGGCTTATTTCATAAATCTCTCCCATCAGTAATATCAACACTGCAGCCTCTCAAATTGTTGTATTAATATTTCTTCAATGGCTGAATCGATTGTCATGATACTTATTATGAAAACCATGACACAAGAGACATTTTCGACAGTGAATCTCACAGATGCCTCCCTTTAGTAATACCAACATAAATGCTGCTCAAATTCTTGATGTGGAAGCCATAAGTGTATATCTTGTCAATACACCCATTTCATGTATAAATTACCTATTATAATCTTTTAATGGATCTCTTTTATACATATTCTGATTGATTAGGCTATCAAAATACTGTCACATAACCTGGGTTTGCATGACTAATAAGACGGGTTTTGGATTTGATGATCAAATTTTTTGGACCTTCATAAAACTTGTTACAGCAGTTCACAAATCACTATCTGACATGCTGTCATCTTCTTCAACTGGACACTCTCGACTTCTGATCACACTTCATTACTCCACTACTCTGTTGCCTTCCGAGTGTTTGCGCTCTTATAACTCCTCGACACAGGAGGTGTTTGCTTTTGCGCTGCATGGTGGCATACAAACTACCTGGTCTATCAGAATCGTAATCATAGCAACATTAGCATGAATCAACTTGTCAGCAAAATCTCTCACACTCTTTCTGCCCATGGCAAAGGTAGACATATTCATAGAATTTAATTTTTTCCTTTTTTAAATACTGTGATTTATGAAAACATTTAACAAAAAATAAAAAGATATTATATCAGAAGGGGTAACTAATACATTTCACTGCATTTTGAAAAGTGGCTGTGTTATAAAAATGGTGATTATAGTGACAAAATTGGTCGAGCAGGGAAAATTTTTTTTCTTGCCCTGATTCTTGAAACTTTCCAAAATTCCTGTCTCAAAATGAAAAGTCTTTTGGCACATGCCAACTAATCTGATACCAGACAACAGTGTGAAGCAGAGCAGAAATAAATAAATCTGGAAATAAGTCTGGAAATCATTCAGTTATTGTAGCTTATTAGATTTGTATTCCTTGTAGGTTTTTGTTGGCCGTGGCGTTTGGAGACCTGAGTCAACCTCGAACATCAGATCAGAACCTAAACAGGACAGTCATAGGCCAGTGTCAAGTTGTGAAGTTGGTATGAATGAGGGAAGAGCGCAGTTTGTCTCAGATAAATGAAGAACCTAAAGAAATGTAATTTGTCTTTTTGGCTGCTTTTGGGCTGCTAAAGATGCATAACGTCTGAGCAGCTGAACTGAAATTGGTGCTTGTGTGTAATGAAGCATGTAAAATGTTTTGTTTCATCCTTACATTGTGTTCTGTCTCTCCCTCTTTTTATTTTAGACATTCCAGGGCCTTCAGAAGCTGCAGTGCTGTACAGCCGTTAATACTGTCTTCTTTCGTAAGATTTATATGGGTATCCATAAAATGAATATCTGTGTTATTATTGTTCAAATTATGAATTTATTTATTAGTAGGTCCCCAGGCCTCTGAAATTCACTTCATACTCTTCTCCCATTTCTCCCTTAGATTTAAAGTGATAATACTATCACTTTCTTGTATGTTCATTAGCAGTTGTGCCATCTCTGAAGAAACTATTATTTTGATATAAGTGAAGTCATATTATTGTGTGTCTAAAGCAACTTGGAGGGTATGTCATGCCTTGAGTAGGCAACCTCATGGAATGGAAATTTTGGTTCACCTTGTATACTGAAAACAGAATCTGGTCAGTTCTTAGTGGTGACATAATGATTTTTGTCACTGCCTGGTGATGACACACCCTCATGTGTGTTTCATACACACTATAACATTGTTCAGTGCTGTGAAAGTAAAGTTAATATCTAGGTCTTTCTTTATTCTGATTCATTTCACTGAATTTATCAGAGCTCTTCAGTGATGATTTGCTTTAAGTTTAATGTTTCACTGCTTGTCATCACAAAAACATTATGTATGAATGGAGTGCTGAGAGTGTGACTTTCAAAGATACATGAAAACACAAAACCCCGTGTTCCAAACATTGAATGAGAAAATGTGTCACATGACATGGATTTGATAGGATGCATAGTTAATAAATATTTCAGCAGATATAATCCAAAGTGGAAGAATTGCAGAAAATGAAACCATTATAAGAATTGGGAGTAAACCCTTGTCCAAATTAGTGAAAGCAGAATTATAGAACTGTTGCTGCAAAATATGTTAAGGGAAGTTATAAAATGTACTTCAGAACCCTCCTTAGGCAATACAACTTTTTTTTTAAACTTATGTAGCATATCATAAAATAAATTACTTAGTATTGTTGAGAATGTCTCTTTTGGATGTAGCATGCTTTGACTTTAAATCTTTTAAAAAGGCCTTGCTTTTTGATATGAAGTGTACATTCATCTACTGTCATCTATGCTAGTGCTATGTACAGCAGTTGGCAATTGCTGATTGTGTCAGTGCACACAAATAAAGAACAGTTGTCCGAATTATTGTGAATTCCAAATTAGTGAGGTGTCTCTGTATAGCCAACTAGGTGAGCCTGCACTGTACCTACTCAGTGGGACAAGAACCAAAGTCTCATAGCCTGTATAAAACTACAACTCACAAGTGAAAACACAATGTGGGTTAACTATTTTTGAAAAAAGAGCCAGTTGATAATGTAGAATAGAATTCTTCACTGTGCGATGCATAGGCAGCGGCTTTCTGTTGCACAGTCAGCCTTCGCCAAGGAAGGATAGATGTTAGTAGGGTGCCTGGGAACAGAGATGCGTGTGCTACAGTGTACTTTCATCAACAGATGGAAGCAAGGCGCCATTCACATGGGAGTTGCACACAAACAGTATGCATGGCACAGAAGTTACTATGGGACTTTCAGTAGTCATCCTTATGTTCTAGGATTATGATCCTCTGGAATGTGATACTGAGTGGTCTGGTAGGTAGGTAAGTGTCTACCTGTATTTCTATATGTATAATATAAACTCTGTCATAAATGTAACACTTTATTGTAGTTCTGGTCCCCCTTCTTTTACACTACATGCAACCGGCCATCACCAGGTGTATTTCACTTTACATAGCTGTTACACTGCACTCCATATTAACATTTAAACTCCAGATTTCCAATTGCTCATTGCTCTGACGTCAATCAGCACCCGATATTCCAGAACTCCCCTTGTCGATTTTGTCAGTTATGTTTAAAATCTTTATTAATATTCACACATCGATTGGTTTAAAATTTTAAACTCTCAATTTAGCTTTAATATTTAAAATTTAAATTTAGATTGAAAACAAAAATCACAGAGATACCTGCTCTATGCTCATATGTGCCGCAGTGGCTACTTCTTGCTTTCAGCACAACTCGCATGTTATTTTGTGCAGGTTCTCTGTGTGCATGCCACTGCTTTTCTTCAATACATTTGAAATACACCTGATGATGGCTGGTTGCGGCCGAAACATGTAGTGTGAAAGAAAGGGGACAAGAACTACAATAAAGTGTTGCATTTACAACGGAGTTTATATTATACATATAGAAGTGTGGAATGTAACAGGATGCTTAAATATAATATAGCATACCTGTATACTAGACTATACAGCATCACATCCTTAGAAGACTTTAATCTTAATATTGACCACCGTAAAAACTACATATCACATATCTTATATATCTTAGATTTATTGGCCAGTCTCCACAGCCTGAATTGGATGGCTTGTGTCAACAGGTGTGTGCTGTTGCTTCATCCTATTTTGTCAGTTGAGTATAGTTTCTGATGTTGCAACATTATAATTCTAATGAATTGAGTTTGTTGATACATACAGACATGTGTGCACATGTCTGCAGACACAGTCACATGTGTGCGCTCTTAGGGGATTTAAAAGATAAAATATAATACAGTAAATTCAAATTACCTCCGTTGTTCAGGCATCACATCATGTGAGTTCTTAGGTTATGGAGCTACAGCTCCATGTATTCATAACTAAAGTATTGCATGGATGTGAGTGGTTAGTTTTATGCTTCATCTGCCTGCACCAACAAGGAAAGAACTGTCAGTACCCATTCACTGGCATGCTGGATTGATTCTAGATCAATTTTGGACATGGTGAGGTGGAATGTGTGAAATACCTTCCTGGGTTTAAACCCTAGTCTTCTAGATCATTGTCAGTAAGTCACTTTACTGACAGACCTACAGGGCGTTTAATGATTGAGGAAACCTGGTAGCAGCATAGAGCAAACACAACATTTCTCACAGATTGCTGCTGTAACTATCGATAGCAAAATGAGTAATTAGTGCTGATAAACACACACTCTCACTAGCGTAGAGCAGATGGAACGTTTCTCAGCAACTGCTGTGTCCTTGCCAGCTAGCGAGAGTGCAGTCATGTCGCTGATTTCCTCACATCAGTTTCTGTACATGCACACATTTGTAAGAATAATATAAAAAGATAACACAAACTTACGGTGCTTTATAACAGTTGCTGAAAGTGACCAAGCCTCGCATCATACAAATAAATTATGCGACACTTTCTGAAGTTGGTCCATGGTAATTGAACTAATTACGTGTGTTATTTCATTCTGCAGAGCTTCAGTGCTGCGAGGATTATTCTTGTCGACTTTTCCCTTTAGGTTTCCCCAAAGATAAAAATTCAAAAGCTGAGATCTGTGAGGCCAAAGTTCTCTGCAGATTATTCTGTCTTCAAACACTTCCCATATTGCAACCCTAGTTGCATTAGCTGTATGTGCTTTAGCGTTGTCTTGTTGAAAATTCCCATATTGTTTTCTTCAGCAGTCAGCTGATTGAAGAACAGATTCATATATCATTAACATAGCGGTCAGAGTTCACGATTTCGTGAAAAAATATGCTGCGGATTTACAGCACACTACACCCCAACTTTTCATTAAGTAATGGTATTTGCTTTATAGCATGAGGATTTTCATCGCTCCATATTCTTACAATTTGTGCATTGACATGGCCACTAACATGAAACCATGCTCCATCAGTCAAGAACAGAAGCTGTGGACCCACGATTCCATCGTGCGCATTTTGCAGCAGCCAGTTGGCAAAAACGAATTCTTGCTGCATAATCTGGTTGTTTCAGCTCATGCACAACTGTTATTTTATATGGGCGAAATTTGATTAATTTTGTGGCTGTGAAAGCAGATCATAGCGAAACATCGGTTTCCTGTGCTAAACGTCTTAACAAATTTCGAGGACTGGTCTGTAGTCATGCCTCAATATCCCGAAACTTTTCTTCAGTCAGCACAATCCTCTTCCATTGCTTCTTTGTGTCACACACTGAACCTGCAGCCCGCCACTTTTTCACAAGCTTGGATACACACGACTTTGTGGAAACTGGCGAGTCAGGATATTTACGACGAAACTTACGGATACGTTTTCTGTAAGATTTTTTCTTGCAAAAGTTATGAAAATAAACACAGCTGTTCAATGGTGAACTTTGTTTCAGTATAAATGTCAACTGCTTATCGACACCTCTAACAAAGACTGACTATTAATGCGACTTACTGCAGACACAAGATCAGACCACCTGATGGCGCATGTTTGTCAGCGCTAATGATTCATTCTGCTATCAGCATTTACAGCAGCAATCTGTGAGAAATGTTGTGTCCGGTCTATGCTGTTGCCAGGTTTCCTCGATCATTGAGCACATTGTATCGTGATTATAATAACCATTTAACTAGTCAAATCAATGGAAATGAGTCCTTGAGAAACCAGTAGTCACTTAGCTATACCAGAGCCAAGACAGGAAGTCCCACTCCAGTTGTTACGCTTCCCACGCCACAATATGTGTCTGTATTCCGCTCCATCAGCTGGCCCATTATGTTCACACAGATTCTGGTAGTGATAACCATGTGAGTATCTTCACTTATACCAATTCTTTGAGCTGATTAACACAATAGCTTACCACTGGTCTCTGTCCTTGTCCAGATACATCCAGTCCACGCCCTTGCATCCTATGGCTTTAAAATATATTTTAGTATTAACCTCCCATAGATTCCTAGGTCTTCTAAGTATTTCCTCTTTCCTGTTGGTTTCCTGACTAGAACTTTGTGTGCATTTTTATGATCTCCCATGCATGTTATATATCCCACCTATCTCCTGGGAAATAATATTAAGAAGACTGTTTATGCAGATCATCCAATAGCAACAGCAACAATGTTGTTTTTGTGAGCTATCCAGAGAGAACGCAAACACAGATAGAGCCAGGCAGCGTTCTCTTAACTGTCCCATCCTCTTCAGTAATAAAAGTATTAGCATTTTGTCCACAGCGTGAGTTCATGTGCATGGTATGACCCTCAGAATATCATCCATTACTTCCCCAAATGCAGTTAACTGATTGGTCTTTGAAATGGACGTGCTCTTTTCTGTGAAGTTGAAAAGTAAAGTTTTAAATATTCTGTAATGAACTTGAGGCTTCAAATGATTAGGTGTAACATATGCAGCTTCAGTTCATAAGTTCCTGAAAATGCTGAAGTGAGTTGCAGACTGGAGTCTTGTTTGCTTTGCGTGAAGGTGCTTGGATTGTAATATGCATAACACAAGAAAGAAGTATTTTGGATTTCTGTATCATCCAAAAGTTCCTTTAGCCTTTATTGTCCAATAACTTGGGTTTTAAATAATGTGCTATGGGGCTGCCAGCCATACTTCAGTTTGTGGTATGGTACTAGTGCAGTATAATGCCAGCTGTCTGTGATGACGAAGGGGGAATAACCCAAGTGTCATATGTGAACAGGAGATCACAAACATTGTTGAATATAGAGGAAATTTGGAAATGCGTGCATATCATCAGATCCCCCCCCCACACACACACACACAGTTATCTAAAAAATTAAGACTTATGGAAAAAGTGTGTTAACATAAAATATATGTTTTCATTTCTCTCTGCAATTTTTATTCAAAACATTTCTTGCTTCAATGAAATTTTGAGAGTTAAACTTGAGATGCATGGTGAAATACAGTATGCGCCAAAACATCCAGTACTGAAACACATGCATGTGCGTTTGTCGATGGGGCATAGCTCCAGCCACACATGTTCCCAGTAGTGGAAAGGAAGGTGTGTTGTGTAGTTGTTTTTGGAAATGGGGCTCTCAACAGACGAAAAAGTATTTATAATTGAGTATTATTTCTGGTCATATGGAAGTGATTGTGAAGGGAGACCGAGTTTGAAGAAGGTGACAGAACAATTCCAAGAGAGATTTAATAAGACGGCACCAAATAACACAGTTATGCTGTCTATTGTTATGAAATTTTGCTGTTCTGATAGTGTCCTGTGTCAACAGAAGGGGAAGTTGATATGGTGTGCCGTCTCAGCACACGGTATATTAGGCCCCTATTTCAATGAGGATGAGGAAGGCAATGCTCTTACCATCACCCAAGAACGCTACAGGGACATGGTGATTGGACCATTTCTTCAGGTTTTGAGAAGGTTCTGTTGGTATGAACATTGTCTACAGCGAGCTGTGAACACTTCAAAAACTTACATTACGCATACCCTGGTAAATCAACACGCTAATAATATGTTTGTTAGTTTCTTTCAGGAGAAATAAACTCACAGATGACAACAAGGTAATATTGTTCGTCTTTTGATTTCAGTACTGTTTGCTTTGGCGCACACTGTACCTGTGTATGTCTTAATGTAAAGTAATTGTTAAAACTGCCTGATCTGAACCAAGATTGAAAGAGTGGGACAGTTCTCCATGTAATACATGCTGTGCAGGGTTGTAAATGCTCCCAAAGTCTTACAGATAAATTGCAAACCAGATAATCCATGCACACATAATCAGGAGTGTGCAATCCTTGACTGGCTAGACTGTGCAGGTGCACCACTACAATAGTGCAGTGTAACAGTTAATTAACTTTTTATAATTGTGTAGTGCCTTGTAACAAAATCGTTTTCATTAAATGTAATGGGTTTCTCCACTGGCCAGCTCTTTCTGGAAAAAGACATTTAATATTGCAGACACTGTTAATTTTTCTTTATT